AAGCTTTTACTTGTTGTTAGAAAAATATTTAAAAAACTCTGTTCAACTTTATTTCTTGTTTTTCATATTTATTATTATAAAAATATTTAAACTCTAAAAATAAGAATCTTTTTAAGTTATATAAGACTAGATTAGGTAAAATAAGTAATAATAATATAATTAAAATTGTTTACAAGTCACGCATGCAAGCAGCTCGTAGTAGCTTGTTGGTAATATAATTCAATAGCGTAACGTGACCTGCATTCTCTCAGAGTGATTTACAACTTTTTATGGCACGGATAATAGTTAGACACAGTTCAAATGATAATAAAACAATAAGATTTAACTATAAATAGGTGTATACTGTTACGAACTTAGAGCTACTTAGGATAAACAAATGTAGTTTCATGTTACAATTTGAAGTTATTCTAGAAAGAAAAAAAGAGTAATTTAGGTATATTTCGATTTTTTTTGGTGGTTATGAGGTCGGTCGAATTGATGGATCCTGTTTTGAGATAGGGTAGAGAAAATAACAGATAAACTATAAAAATTTTCCGAAACAAAACATTTGAAATGCATTTAGGAGGTTTTAGGGATTACACAAAGGAAAATTGAGATTTTTGAGATGAGGAAAAGTATTTTTAATCTTAACATGCAAATTACTTTGCACATGGACTATTCAAAACCAATACTCAATATATTCATGGACAAATATTTATTTTATTTTATTAAAAATACTTTACTAAAAAATATGATTTTTTATATGTGAAAGATTTGATAATATTAAGTGAAAGACTGCCAAATTTTGTGAAGATATACACACAGTATTGAAAGTTGGAAGTATTAAATCTATAAAGACTTTAAGTGAGTACAAAGAGGTCACATGGGCAGTCAAATTGACCGAGTCCATGTTGAGAGAGTTAAATGAACACCAGATATTTGTAAGAAAGATATCTTTAAGGGTTAATAATAATCTCGTTTACACTAGAATTATGATGTTTTTAGGTTATTTAAAATATTGGAGAAAGAAATCAACTTTTCAATATGCCTAAATCCTTTGCAGTACCTTATTTGTTATTCTACAAAAGGTTTGGGTGCAATATACCAAGCGGTTTTTGTTGTAGGCTAGCAAGAGAATAATAATAATAATTGCAAATGGGCCATTTTGAGCAGATTTTCTTTTCCTTTTAAGTCTAACAAGCATGCTTTCTTTCTGCATTTTTATATCTGTACAGCCTTAGCAGTCAGTAGAAAAGGTTTTAAAGTGTTGGTTGAATCGAATCTTTACTGTTTAACCCTAATGAGACGGGTCTACCTATGGTCATAGGTCAAAGGCCAGGTCATCATGTTGGTAAACTTGTATTCAAAAATTTTATTGAACTACAAATGAACTTATGAACCTATGACACATTATATATTTCATAAAAATACAAAATAAGTTATAAGTTTGCCATGTTAAATATTTTTCTAAATTTGAAAACATCATATTTTTACTTTAGGTTAAAATAGATGGTAGAGATGTGCGTGATTTAAACATTGGATGGCTACGAGATCACATTGGAGTTGTTGGGCAGGAACCTGTTTTGTTTGCCACCACAATAGCAGAAAATGTTCGTCATGGCTTTCCACAGTCAACCACAGAAGATATAGAAAGAGCTGTAAAATCTGCAAATGCTTATGACTTTATAAATAAACTTCCCAAGGTAAATAATAATTTCCTATATCCCATGTGATTATTAATTAATATAAAGAATAAAGACAAGCAGTTATTTAAGTAGTAATAAGCATTACTATTTATTTATTCTTACATTTTGTTGTATCATTGTCAGTTATTTATTTATTTATTTTTAATTTACCCAAAACCTTGAAGGTTACTTCTTCTGTGCAAAATTGATTTTTGCATTTTAATGAATATATAGGATCTTTTTTTTCACAGCAGTTACCATTATTTCTAAAGACCAAACTTTCTTTTATATTACAGAAGTTAAATTTTAAGGTGTATATACTTAATCTTGTTTATTTCAGAAATATGAAACCCTTGTTGGTGAACGAGGTACCCAACTCAGTGGAGGGCAGAAACAACGAATTGCTATTGCCAGAGCTCTGGTTCGAAACCCCAAAATTCTACTGTTGGATGAAGCCACCTCAGCTTTAGATACTGAAAGTGAATCAATTGTTCAAGCTGCTCTTGACAAGGTAAGTTTACTAAGCACCTTAGTCAGTTAGGTCAATTAAACTACAATGAATTTAAAATCTAAAGTTTCTTGTGTTGTTTTTTTTTGTCTTTCACACTATACATGCACATATGATGACAATTTTAAAAGTCTGAAAAAAAACGCTGACATTCCCCTGAATTAGTGTAACATAATATTAAACTTCTATTAAATGCATCGTATGAGTTTTTCTGTAAATCTAACTAAGAACTACTGTTTTATGGCTATATTATGTATTGACTTCTCGTTTTTAGTATTTAACCCTCTAAATCTGAGCCTGGCTCTTCTGCCCATGCAATGATGTTTCACAGAGTTGCATTCAAAATTTAATTAAATTTTCCTATCAATATACGCTACTAAAATTACCATCAGAGTGTAGATTATAATCAACATTGTTACATTATCTCAAATTTAATTTCTTAATTAGAAAATAAAATATTAAAAATTCTCAACCTTCATTTTTTGTGGTATATGATGCATTTGCTTTCTAAAATGTCCTATTTTTATCTGTATAACTTCAGTATTATAGTAGCTACACTGTTTGACTTATCTAGACACAAACATTCCATAATGACTAGGGGGTGAAGGCATACTGACCCCAGAATGTAATTTGTCTGCAAAGATGTCTCAAAGGGAAGGGGACAAATAAAAGAAAATGGGAGACAAAGACAAAACATAATAAACTTGGTTGATCTTCTCTAGGAAAGGAGGAGGAGGCCTGGGTACATCCATAGAAGCTAAATGTGACAGTGTAGTATAGGATGGGGAGAAAACAAGCTATTGAAATCATCGTCCTCTTGTTCAGGTACCCCTGAACAAGGCATGACAGGATAATCTTCAGGCGAATCAGAAGCATGCATGAAGGTAGCCAACTTCCATCAAACCAAGGCCATAACATCTGCCATTGATAACTGCAGACCTGATGCCATTGTAGATAAAGTAAGATTAACTGCAGTAGGAACCTCAGCAGTAATGTTAAACTCTGAATTCATGATAACTATGAGTGGAAATAAAAATAAAAAATATACAAATTTTTAATTTTGAGAGACACATAATATTAACATGTACACACAAAAATTTATAGAACTGAAGTGCACTAAACTTAAAAAAACTAAGTTCTCCAAAGAAAAAAGTAACTGGTCTAAATTATGTAAAATAAAGCTCGAGCAAAAAACATGTCTTAACACTATGAGTGTCAATCGAGAAGTGAAGTTGAGCTAAGTTGCATAGAGAGAGTCAGTTGTGTCACCCTACGATTGGTGGAGAGTTGTTGTATGCTCATTTGCATGCTATCATGCAGCTGCCTCACATGGAAACACATGAGGGTAGGTGGGATTTTCAAGGCTAGTGGTGAACAAAACTTTAGAGGGCACTACAAGTCGAGAAAAGTTGTTATGTGAATAGATTTAAGAATTGTTCATTCCCATGCTTTGCCTTACCTTCAGTCTACATTTCCATTTTTGGACTCACAGCAGTTGGATTCTCTTCTGCTTTTGTGGGGTTCAGATTCAAATACTGGACTGGATGATTTCTGTCACAATACAGTTCAGCCCTCTGGCTGGGTACTCTCCTTCCTACTGTCTCATGAATGTCATTTTCCAGGGGCACTGGTGTTGGTTGGAGCCACATATGTCCTCACATGTATGATTCATTCCCTATACAGCCTGTTTCTGGACTGGGGTTGAACTTCCAGATTGCTGTCTGCCTTCCTACCATCATCCGGATGTCAGTTCCTTGGGAGTGCTGGTGTTGGTTGTTTTGGACATGCACACAATCTGTGGGTCCTTGGAATGGATGATCTTTTCTTCTGGTTCCCATGTCCAAGGTGACTGGTAGATGACCCTCTTCCATTGGCTGGGTATTCTTATCACAATTCTGTTGGTGTTGGTTATGGTTGAACTCCCCCTTACCTCATTTTTATGGGTGAAGAGTATACCTGGCTCAGAATTACTGTGGCCTCCCATGGGTGTGCCTTACATACTCTTTGTTTACACACCCCATGGACTTCCTTTGGGTGCATTCTAAAGGGACTCATCTAGGTAAAATTACACTGGTCCCTCCATCAGGTCAATGTGTGATTCTAGCTATTATGTGAGTAGAGGTAAGAATCTATAAGAAATAAAATTTTCAAACTCACAATAGATGCCTCACCCATCTATGCTTAACTTTCAAGGCAGTCTTCAAACCACTTGCTCCTATATGATGTACTTGTTTAAAACCAGTAGGAGCTTATGTTCAGTTTGAGCTTGCAATGATCCTTTTGAACTTAGCAGTAAGAGACATTAGAGCAGTAAAGAATTTGACTAGGTGCATGTTGGTGAGCTCAGAGTATTTATTGACATTTTTTAGAAAACTAACAGTTAGTTATAAGTTGTTAAGGTGCTAATTGGCTGAATGAAAAGCTAATTATCAGAGCTGTTGTCCACACATAGCAACTATTACTAGATATTGTGGAAGAGTTTCTGGAAATTTTCAAGCTATATTATGAACTGTCCAAAATTAGAAAGATCTGGCTATAAGCAATAGTAATGTGTAGAGCAATTCAGCTTAAAAAAGGCTGTCTGAAACTTTGGTACAGAGATCTAGTAGGTTAGTTAGCTAGTTAACTCCAGGCAGCAGCATCTACAGTTCTGCTGTAATAATCTCTTCACTAATTAAAAAAATGTAGTAAAGAATTAAAGTTTTCCTTTGCTTGTATTAGTGAATTATAAAATTATTGTTATCATGGGAAATAAGTCATTTCAAATATCAAGATTATAAATGCTACACATCAATTTATAATAAAGAATGCCTTTCAGTGTGTAATAAAATAATAAAATGCATGTTTTGTTCTCATGAATTGTGGCTCTGTTTCCTTTTTTTTTCAAGTAAACTTGCTTGAATAGGCAACCTGTGTAAAACTGATATCTGCATACTCTTGATATTTAAAATAAATAATATTTGTAAATCCACATTAAAACAACCCTTCAACACATGACCTTCATGTGTTATTACTGTTACTTCTGCCACTAATCTTCAAAGAGTTGCTTGCATCATTAGACATGGTAGTTGATATTCAATGATCTATTTAAATCATTATATATTATTATGATCTCTGAAGTTTTTTACATCATTACTTTATCAGTTTTTTTATATTTGATAACTACATGATTACATCTTTTGGCTGGTCCACATCCAGTATTATATGACACTTTCCTTGTTATAACTGGTTGTTCATTAATATACTAATTAATGTTCTTACATGTAGTGGGAACTCCATCTTCTTCAATCATTTCAAGAACTTGAAATGTCGCATTTAAACATTTGACTGCTCTACCAAGCCAACCAACTGTTATCATAAAATATCAAATACAATAATACCTACAATATTTTAAGTCAGATATTGAAGAAATATTTTCTTTACTTTATGCTTTATGGGTGTGATAGTACTCAATAAAATTATGATATGGGAATGATAAATAAATGACATAATTGTTAATGCAGTTAATTGTCCATAGTGCTGATTTAGACTTAACAGTACTGAAGCTTTATGGCATAAAATGTTTCATAGTTATAGACATGTTCATGCATAAGTTACTAATATCAACTTTGAATTACTGTGCTTCTTTGTTTCAATATTGAAAATACATAGCTGTTATATAATCTTTAGCAGGCTAGCTATATTAAACAAGTGGATTCAACATATATTTTCCACAAACTTTACCTGTGATAAAACCAACTGATGATATAAACCTTTCTTTTCCATCAATTCATTGTGTGTTCCCACCTCATGTACACTACCTCCAGACAGAACAATAATCTTATCTGCTGATCTAATTGTAGAAAGTCGATGAGCTACAATCACTGTGCTTCGTCCTTGTCTTGCCTTTTTTTTAAAAAGAAATACTTATACAGTGAGTAATACATTCCATATAACTGATTTGAATTGTGATTGAAAGATGAAAGAATCAGAATGGTAGAAAAAATATATTTTTAATACAAATCTATGAAAATGAGATCAGAAAAATCTATTAGTCATGTAGATTTAAAACATATTTTTCAATTATTATAGCACACTAAAATACGTTACTGATGTACAAGATACATATCCAATGGTATACAGGTGAAAATTTATTGTAATCCTGAAGCTTAAAAGAAACCAAAGGAACAAATGATCAGAAATCATGATTAGGTCAGTTAATAAATTCAAGAAACATCTGATCACCTTTGTTTCATTTACTAATATAATTTCAAATCTGGACAAAAACATCAAACTTAAATTTAGCCAAAAGTAGCAGCATAACAAAAAACAAGAGCTGTTAATTACTGAGTATTAATGAATACTAAAATCAGAACCGATGTTAGCTATAAAACATCAGATTTTGGAGATCAGGTGATAAATAGATAATCATTTTTATTGTAAATAAAATATTTGGTGAACACATAAGAATACTTCCTATAATAATAATAAAATTGTTAAGAAAAAAAACAATTAGCTTATCTCACAATGTATTTCTCTCTACCACAAAAAAATTTTCCGATTTTAATTAATTAGGCTATCAACAAGTTATTCATTGAAAATAATGAACAATCATCACATATAATCTTTAGCAGGCTAGCTATATTAAACAAGTGGATTCAACATAGATTTTAATCAATTAGGCTATCAACAAGTTATTCATTGAAAATAATGAACAATCATCACAACCTTACTTTTAAATTGGTACAGAGGAATACATTGTGAGATAAACTGATCAGTATATTAAAAAAATGTTTTGACGTTAAAACTAACTATTCATATGGAGACATTTCCCATAAGTGACATACATTTACATACTAACATTTTCAATGTATTTGTATGATGTTGCTGGGGTTCATTTCCCCACATTTTTGGTAATTAGTTTTTACTTATCCAAATTCTTAAATAGTGTGAAAAAGATTATAGAATCCCAAAACAATGTTGAAATTAAACATTTTACCAAAACATAATTCTTCTATTCAAACAAAATACATAAATAAATGAACTAACTGCCTACTTAATTATTTCTAATTACAATCATATGCTTTAACCCTGCTGAGACGGGTCTTCCTATGGTCAAAGGCCATATCATCGTGTTTGTAGACTCACATTCAACATTTCATTGAACTAATATTTTATGAACTTATGTCAATAAGTTTGGTATAAAATAGTAGATTATAATTCAAATTTTAGTATTATACATTACTTAATTTGTAACTTTAAAAAATAAGTATTAAAACAAAATCCTAAATATCGATTTTTGTGTGTCACATGGTTTGTTGAATACAGCATTGGTTCAGATTAGATGTTTGTGATGTCCAAATACAAAGTCTATAGTTTCATACAAATTAGATACTCAAATTTCCAGTGTTGACCAGCTAGAATATAAGATAAGAACCTCCTATCTTTTCTATTTTCTGAGATATTAATATATTTATTGAATCAACCAAAGTGGCCCCACCCACCTCTTTATTTTGGAAAATACTTGCTTACGTACATCTACTTTGCCCAGTGACAGGCATATAACCAATTGAAAGCTCAGAACGCTCCCTAGTGGTTTTCTCAGCCTCTGCAAAGTCTTTGCACAGGAAACTCTTTCTTTTCATGCTGGATTCCAAGTGGTAAGGTAAGACATTAGTGAGCACGAAAAAATCATATTTTAGACTCAAATACAGCTTAGTTACTAAGCTTGATAAATTATAGGGGAGTAATCTGGTATTGATATAGTAATTTATGATTTTTTTTGTTTCAAAATGCACATGTAAAACCTAGAAAAACTGTTTTGTTTTACATCCTACACATTCAAAATTTGATAAGGCTGAGTAACTTGTGGCAGCAGCAAATGAGTACAAAGTGTGTAACTAGAAGAGATAATTGTTTTCTATATTTCTTTATTTACTGTTCTATGTTTTAAGAAAAATAACTGAACTTTAAGAACTTATCTGTAAATAGTAATAATGTATATAAATACATACATAATGTATTATAACCAAAATGTAATTGTATTTTTCAAAATACTGGTACACTAGAACAGAGCCAAGATAGGTAGAAAATTTCCAAATTTCACATGCAAAATCTTTATAACCTCTTTATAAGCCTATCAAACGTTTTTTTAGAATAAACTTTATATTTTATCTGTTATTTTCCCTACTGTATGAGTTTGGTCGATTTGACTGACCTCGCAACCACCATAAGAAATTGGGAAATAGATATAAATTATACTTTTTTGTATTATAGAATGACTACAAATTATAACAAGAAAACACAAATGTTTAGTCTAAACAGCTTAATTCTCATAACATTATACATTTATATACATTTAATATTTTTATTTTATTAACCTTTCAGGCATGCCTAACATTACAGAAGTTGCAATGACGAGGCACATGTGCATTCATGTTACTATATCCAAGAATATAAAACTGGCCTTTAGAGAGTGTTTTTTTAAATAAGTTTTGAAATTTTTTAAGTAATGTTTTTCTTGTGCATTTTTTCTTTTCAAATGTTGACTATCCAAAATGGAAAGTAATTTTCATTTTAAGATTAAAAATACTTTTATGCATCTCTAATATTTCGCATACAAAAGCCTTGTAATGTTTTTTGGTAATCTGCAAAAGTTCATGAAAATATGCTTACTGCATTAAAAGTTATAGCATGAAAACTATAACAAGCATAAAATAGTTATGAGGTCAGTCCCTGGGACTGAGCCCATTGTTAAAGAGTTAAATAACAAAATTATCATCCTTATCTGTGATAGCAAAACATATTTTCATTATTTAATTACCAATTCATTTGATTTACACAATATCAGTGGAGGATTGCTGCACATTTTAAAAACAAACAAAATGACAATGTATAGTCATCTCTAGTCCTCATTAGGAATTCATTCACCAAGTAGGAAGTGCCCAGGTTATCTTTAAAGTGAATCATAAAGGTCATTCTGAATGATTACTCTTTTATTGCATTTTTCATGTTCTTTTGTTTTTGTTATTAGTTGTTTTTTATGTTTATAAGTAATATAAAAAATTTTACATATTGACTTTCTTTATGCTAAAGATGAAATAAATTGTATATTATTATCATTATCCCTAAATATAAAACTGAATAATTGGTTAATAGAATAAATGAAAAATATAAATAAGTGAAGAATAGACCAAGACAGACCCATCAATAAAATGGTCATTCTAAGAATAAAAAAAGACATATACATGAAGAAACTTCTTAAATAATACAAATTACTTCTTTTATATATATATATATATTTAAATTTCTATTTATATATTTATATATATAATACTATATCAATGCCTAACAATGCTCACAATAGATTATTTTGTTTAGATATTTTTTGTGTGTTGTGAAGTACTGTGTTAAGGTGGTTACAGGTTAAAAACTAATTTGAACACTTAAAACTATGGATTGTACATTGTGATACATGATAAAAAAATTTGCATTTCTTTTGCTATATTGAATAGTAGATGCCTTTTTTTCAGAAATGATGTTGTAAAAAGTAAAAATATTGTAATAGAATCATAATCTACATGAAATTCTCCTTTTATAATCATATTTTTTTGCCTGTGCAAAAATCTCCTTTGTACGTAACAACACTTGTTGGGAATAATGAAAAAATCCACCATTTTGTTTCTGTTGAGCTCATTGGTGTGAAAAAATCCCATTTTTTCAATGTATTTAAATGAGATACTAATTCTAATACCGAATTTTGGTCACTGATCTCCCCAATCCTCTTCTTAAGAGTTGTTTATACTGTATAAGTAATTATAACTTTTTTTATTCTTTTTTTTTGTCTCGATACACTGAGTAATTATGTGTTGTAAGTTTTAAGCTGATGTTCACAGTTACACATATTAGGTGAGTTTTTTTTGTTTTTTTCAGCTTTGCCTGCATTTCTAGAAATTGTTTTATTTTTAATTCATTTATTGTTAGAATAGGAAAACTATTTGAAAAGAACTTCTATGTGGAAATAAGCTAGAAAGTTTTTCATTAAGATTTGCTAAGCCATTAAGCTATCTGTATGCTTTGTATTTAACTTGTATTATTATTTTCATTGCTCACATAGATTTATTTAATGATGTTTTTATTATTTCTGTAATTTTTTCCTGCCTATTTGTTCTATTCATTAAAATTTTGAATATTACAGATCAAGTAGAAAGGTGGTGTTTTTTAGTTACAGATGAGATTAAACATCAATTACAATCAGGCTGGGAAATGTTAAGCCTGTATTAAACTTTATGCTAGCCTTTAAAATTAACTTTGTATTATATTTGTATATGTAATATCATAAATATTGCTTCAAATTTGTATCTGTAATCATTAAAATTTCAAAGCATGTTGAAATTTTAACTTTTGTATATCAAAACCTTTACTTTTGGATAGTTCAGAATGAGCTTTTTGACTTTTTTTAAACAGTGTGAGTACTCATTCCATATTGTTTCAAGTGTATTGAGTAATTTTCTGTGCAGAACATTTTATTTGAATGAGTGTGGTGTGTTAAATATTTGGATTGCTGTTCCGTACTTAAGTCTGCATACAGTGTGAGGGTAAATAATGTATGTGAAACATAAACTGTTGTGGCATACTTTTTCTATAAATAGTTACTCCATTAAGCAGAACTATTGAGGCTCTTTTTTGGAACTGTTCTCAGTCTTTTTTATGTTCTCACTGAATTAAACTGACTTCAATATGTCATCGTGTGATTAATCATAGTAGTTAAAGCTAGCTTATGAAATTTCATATGGAATATATGAATAAGTTGTGAAGTATATACTTTTAGATTACTGCTTATAAGTAGTATTTTAATAAGAAAATGATAATGTCTTTCAGCAAATGGACATAGATGATTTTGGTGCAACCAGCAAACCAGTGAAGCCACAATCTCTAGAGAGGCAATTTAGTGCCCTGAGTTCTACATCAATTGCTTCAGAGGAAGCGGTAACAGCTTTTGGCCGCACTGCTTCTTTTAAACAGAGTATCAATAATGCCAATATGCGGAAGGATTCTGTAAGAATTAAATTTTACAAGTTTCTAGATTTATCTTTCTGTAAATTCAAACTAACAAAAAAAGCTGTATTTTTATTTTTTTTAAATGACAACATGTATGGAGTTTATTGCATTTTCTTTTTTAAACTATGTACAAAAGATTTATTAAGTGATGGCTTTCACTTTTAGTAAACCAAAGCATATATAGTTAATTTCCATCATAAGGTAGTTTTGGCTTTTAATTATATTTATTTGTTGTTTTTTTTTTTAATTGTCTTGTTGCTTATATTTAATAGTTTTGTGCATGCAGTCAGTAAAGTTTAAATAATATTTGTCAAGATCTTTCATATATTTCCTTGTGTTTTTTTCCATGAATGTTATCATTAGTTAAAGTTAAGCCATAAGTTACAGTGCTAATCAGTTATGGTTTCTTTTATGTTATTTATATGTCAAATTATGTGACATTAATCACTGTTTTTATGATAATTCTTCTAATTATATGGATTCTACCAAAATTGTTACAAATCCCTACTGAAAAAAGTACAACCACAAGTTTACCACAATTGCTGTTAATAGTAAAGACTTTGAGCCCATTTCTGTTTAACAGATTAGAAAGTGAGTTTGCTTACTTCATCATCTGTCAAATGTCTGGCTATTCTACCTGATTTCTTTGTACATTGGAGTCAAGTTTTACATGGTCCTGAATTTACACACTTCCAAAAACTGGAAATCTTTGATATTATTACTGTTTCAAAAAATGCTATGGCCAAGCAAATAAAACTATAATGTTTAGAATAAGCTTAGAATATCTTTTATTATTTACTGTTGTGATATTTTAGAACATGCAGTTATTTTTAAAGATGAAAAGATTTCTGTTGTTAGAAGTGTTGCAAAAAAGATACATTACCTACAGCTTTTCTAGAACCTAGATATTCATACATACAATTTGCCTTAAGCTAACTCAAATATTCTTGGAAGTCATCATCATCATCACTGTTCAATGAATGTATTAGAGCATTAGGCATTAAATTTAAATCCAGTTGTGTGTGTAGCATACTGGCAACTGCACCCTTTCAAGAAGTTACAAGTTCAACATTGTTCTTTGTTGGCCTCTTTTCATGAGATATGGGACAAAATTATTAATGTATTTTGTCCAATCATTTCCTAATAATAAAAGAAACAGTATTTCTTGCTGTGAATGATTTCTATATATTCCACTGTAGGTAGCTTGTTTTACATGTGTGTTTAGTGGAAATGTTATATATATGATAGAGTTTTGTACTGTCAGGATTGCACTTTATGAATTTTTTATTTCAGAATAATTTTAGATTTGATGTTTCACCATCATATAATTTTCCACTAAAGTGTATTGCAGGCTGAAATTTTTCACTTTACTTGTTAAACAGATCAGTTCTAAATGCTTTAGGTGGCTTATGTGATTATGTATGACCCCAAGAACTTTTTCCTTCCCAACCCCATGAAGACTGCATTTTGAATCACATCTTGTAATTATATATATATATATGTATGGGAATATATAATTCAGAAACACACTTACCTCCTCTCACACTATAGCTTTATCCTGACAAAAGTTTCTCTTTTCTGCCCATCTAAGCATTGGTATGAATCTTACCTCACTTGCTCCAGCCCTTATACTCCACTATATTGCCCAAAAGAAATTAAATCTCGGGATTTTCTTCACCTACGTCAATGTGTCCCCTATCTTACATTTGTACCTGAGCTCTCTGTTATCATTTTCTTTTCACTTTTTCAAGATGGCAGAATGTTATGATGATGCTTTTATATGCTTGCTGCATGTTTCTCTTCAGTATTGTATAGTTGATAAGTACACTTTGAACGATTTTTTTAAAACTTGAGTTTATTTTCCTTATTTTATTTAAAAAAAGTTTTTTTAGATGTTTTCAGATGTAAAATCACAAGTTCACATCTCTACAGAAAGATGTCCAGTCCCTCATATGCAGAGAGGTGGAGTCTTACATGAGATCTGATGTATTTTCTCCCGTTGGCTCAGAGTCTGAGCTTGTGAGAGATCAAGGGCAGACTCGTAAGAATTAGGACTCTATTTTTCTAGCATCTTCCTTTGCTCAGACAGCTACTCACGAGCCTTGGATGATTATCCCACCTTCTGCACCATTTTTCAACTAATGCATCAAGTTTGTAATATCTTAACTCAATTTTCCCAAATTTGCCTGCCCCTTACAACAGTTTTGCATTTTTTATCTTCTTTGCAACTGTTGTCTGAGGCTTATCACAGGTCTCCTGCTTAATTTTCAGAGGATCTTAGCCATTTATTGACTTCTACTTTGGTAAGTTTATCAGCTTATGCTCTCTTTTGGTCTCTCGGTTGATTTGTTGCTGGGTTCTTTTGGAGAGAGACGTTTTGCTTGAGAGAGTTCAACTTCCTTCTTTGGCCCTTAGTGAAGCTCCTTTTCTTAGACATTCAATTTTAGCAGATATTCCAGATTCCATGAAATCTAGAGTGGATATGGCCTGTCTCCACTCTTCTCTTTTGACACTGGCCTCTTGTTTTTCCTGATCTTCTCTTGGTCAGTTTCCTGCATTTCCTGTTAGGGTTTCTAGACCTCCAACATCAGCTCCCTGGTTTATTGGAACACAAAGGAGAAGGAGACTACGCCCTTATCAGCAGGTATTCTCTGCTCAAGTGGAGCACAGTCGATGCCATTGGTGACTATTCTATGAGGTCTTATCCTGTGGGGCTCGTGTCAGTATGGGAGACCTTCACCATAGATCAATGGGTCATTCAAGTTCTTACGAGAGGATTAGCCTTTCATTTCATGTCTCCTACTCCTTCTTTGTCTCTTATACCAGTTGAAATCTTTTCAGGTTATTTGTCCTCAACATCCTTTCTAGCTTTCTAATTGTGATATCAAAGTGGTTCTCCATGCCTTATCTTGTCCTTCCTCTGAACCTTTGGCATCATGTTTCTTATATCACCTTTCTCTAAAGACTTTTCTGTGGTTGATTTGTGGCTGTTGACGTCAGATTTGTTTACCATTCATGTTCCACTTATGTTCAGGTGTATCCTGATAGGTCCTTTCTGCCCAAAACTTCACTGTCTTTTCCTTCCATTTCTCATTTTTATGACTGCTCCACTGGGATCCTAAAATGTCACATGACTGAGCCCCAGTTGCTTTGACAGATTGGGTTCATCAATTGGTTCGTATAGCTTACTCTGGGTTTTCATTAAAGGAGCAGAGACTTTTTCAGGTTTCATCTCATCAAGTTCACCATGTCTCGATGTTCCTGGTGGCCTGGTTATGTCACCCACCAGAAGAGATTGTACAGGCTGGTATGTGAACTACACCTAATACATTTATATATCATTACTTACATGATTTGGCAGTTACCTTGTCTGAAAATTTTCAGCTACCCCCATGGCCATTCTCCACTCCCTGGCTAGATTGTAAGAGCAGTTAGTGACTTCATTTCTTTTGTATTTATTGCTGTTCTTTTTCAGGAATCCTCTCATTTTCATTTGGATATCACTCAGTGGTGAGTGTTGCCTGGTCAGATATGCTTCTTTCTGAAACCACATTAGCTACCAATTGACTGATAAAAAATGTTCCTGGTAGCAATGAGCTCTGTTGAGATGGGGTGTTCCATAAGACCATCTTGTGCACCTTCTGGGTAGTAAACAATTTTATACCTTACTGGACTGCCACTCATAGACTATCATGAGTAAAGCTTAAAGGGATTTTGCCCATCCGTGCTGACCTGTGGATTGAATAAATCAAGGTCGGTTTGCTTTTCAAAATAGGGAACATGGTTCTCCTATTGCACTGTCTCTGGAGCATCGTTTCTCTGGATTTCCCCACGTGAATATCTCCCCCTCATTTCTCCTAGTGGAGCATAGGCGTCTTTATCACTCTCTGTTTCTAGTTGCTGGAATGGTGGACAGAGGTTTGTTTTTCTTGAGCGATGATTGAACTCATTGTTCTACTGAAGGAGAAGAGGATCAAGCAGCGTGTCTTCCTGCCAATAACCCTGGATAGTGTTGCCAGATGTATGGTGCGAGCAAGACCAGCCTATATGGAAGCCTGCTCATAATTCTGGTTCAGAGATGACTCTTCTGTTTCCGGTTGAGTTGAGCATGGCCCTTCTTTTTGGTCATTATCTTTTCAATTATCATGGAAGAGGGTCTTAGACTCCTCGTAATTCTGTGCATGGAGTGTCAGTTCCTGTGCCATTATTTGGACTTAGTTTGTTCTACATTCTCCTTGTAATTCTTCGGGAAGGATGTATTGCTTTGCCTCTCAGGTTGGGGAGTTTGGATTTCTGTTCATAATCCCTGGCGAGGTAATCTCTGTTTGTTCAGGTTGAATGAGACGTGAAAAGAAAAGTGTCCCATAATTCTGAGTTTGGTTTGTTTCATTTTGCACTTTTTCAGGTTGGAGTGAGAGTTTATCCACTTTTGCCTTCTCTTCTTAATTACGGTGGCTTGACATGCAACATTCTATAACTTTCAAGTTGGGTTCCACTAATACCACATTACAAAGCAAGAACAAATAAAAAGTGGTCCTTATGCCCTAGCCACTACAACTTGGATCTAGCTTTGGGTACATTGCCCTATAATTCCAATGACAAGATGTGGGATGTCATCTGCCTGGTTGGAGCCTGGATGAATCCAGTGAGATAGGTCCAATATTTCATTCATTCGTGTTTTCTTGTAATGATGTAAGGATTTTGCCTCTGTGGCCAGTTGGCCTTCATTGCCCACAAATTAGATTTTGTGTTGTCCGGGTGAAGAGCATACCTGTTCCAGAAGTAGTGTGGATCCCACTAGTGTACTATTACTATATATAATTTTCTCACACCTCTTTTCTATGCAGATACAGGGCTCACACCTAACTTTTTTTTTTAGAGAGCCAGCCAGGTCCCCAAAACATGCATTTTAGGTGCCAATCACTGAATTAAGTAGCAGATGAAAGGAAACTAAATATATCAAGTGACTTTTTCTGCTCTAGAATCCAATTGTATGCCATGAACTGAATTGTTATGTGACCAAAGGAATCACAATTCCTTCACATGAGTTGTTTTCATACAAATTTGCAGGAATTTTGTTGTAGGTCAATGTATTTTTTTACTTCAGTACGAGTATAAAGTGGTTCAAAAATATCGAAAATCATTATCATGGTGAAAGTCTGAAACTTTGAGAAAGAAAATGAAATGTCAGGATGCAAGTTACAGCAAGAAAGAGATAGGCTTGCTCACAAAGTCATGATCCAGTGGGAAGAAGCCAGGAACAAACCTAAAATAGAAAAGATCATCAAATTGCTCCCCAAGATGCAGTTAGAAGCTCACCAAGATCCTGACTGTAGGGTGGCTTTTCTGCTAGTAACATATATGATCTTTAATTTCTCTCTAAAGCATGGCATAACAGTAACTTTTTGTTCCCCTTTAAAGTTGTGTCCTTTAATAATCAAAATAAATAATGAAAGAAAATCTATGCATCACTGCCAGTGTAATCTGTTCTTGTTCCCATATAACCCTTTATCATCTAGCTGACACATATTTGTCAATAAAATGTCAAACACTTTTGATGAAGAAATGGAAAAACCATACAATTTACACTACCACTAACTTTATAGCAAGCAGTTCTTTCATATCCTGAAACAGCTGTTAATTAGTCGTTCATGAATTTGAATTTGTAATAAGCAAAATCCTCAAGTTAGAAACATGGAAAACATGCAACTATATTTAAAATGGCTTAAGTGGTGATGAGTTAAACATAAATTAGTGTTCTTTCCTAATCCAAATAAATAATGAAAGGAAATATAGTATACATCAGTGTTCAATGATGTCCCAACATCCATTTCGCTGATTTTTTCTTCATCCCCTTCTTTTTCATCTCCTGCACCAGCTTCTCAATCTGGACCCTGCCAGCATTTGGTTTATTTGTGCGAAGTGATTCTGAATTTCAAAGATAGATTGATGTAACCAGTGAAACATGTAAAAGAAAACAATGCCAGGTAGCTAAATGCAATAAAAACAGAACTTCAGATAAATGTGCCCTTTGTGAAAGATTTATCCATGGTAAATGCACAGTGAAAGTTGATATATTTTGCATAGTTTATATTCAACCAATATTTATTGCCTAGTTGAATACTAGAACTCCCAGATATAAATGATTCCATAATTTATGTGTAGTCAACCTAGACCTGTTTTGCAAAAGAAAATGAATGATCCTGAGTTCCAAAGATATATTGCTGTAACCAGTGAAACATGTAAATTTTATTTATAAAATATAGTGTTTAACCCTGTCACAGATGGTGAGCACCTTTCAGGTATCGATTGGACACCTGTATATAAAAACTTTAAGTAAGAATATTAATTCTAATTCTGCTTCAATAATTTTCAATTCAAAATATTTTATATTTTGCCATTATGTAATGTGCATTTAGTGTGCTTTAACTTCCATTTCTGTGCAGCTCAAGGTCCCACCTGCTTTATTCAAACTTTATATTTCTCCTTATTTGTTTATCACCATGCAAACATGTTACATGAATACCCTTCAGCTCTTCAAGTCAGTGGGTTTTGCACAGACTCCTAGACTATATTTTGTAGGCTGTTGTAAATACTAAAACAATATCATGAAGTATTGCATCTGTGCTTTGCTTACAAGTTTTCTGAAAAACCAAACTTAAAAAATAATCTTACTATTAAAGACAACTAAACTGGCTAATACAACAGACTTGTTGATTTGCAGAGTAACACAAGAACACCTATGGCTTTGAATATTTATGGTAATTACCTGTTCATGATGCATAAAATAAAATGAGTGTAGTTGATCAATAATATTTATCTTTTTTTGTGTAAATTAATTTACTTGTACAAAAAGTATATGGAATTAATTTCATCAAATTATTATTACCAATATATGATATGTATCTTTCTCATGATTTTTTAGTAAAAAAATCCCTTTTTTTAAAAACAAAACTGTCAGTTCTTACAGCATACCAACATGCATGTAAGAAAAGTATTGAACAGTGAAAGTTATTTCAGTGTTATAGCAACCATACACATAATGGAAGATTTAAAAATTGGGACTATGTTAGTGCCTATAAAAGTTTTCCTCCTTTTCTTTTTCCAATCCAAATAACAGGAAATTACAAATTAAACTTGTATAAATAAACTAAAACAGATATTTCTAGCTTAGTTTTGCTAGTTCTAAATTTTAAATTTAATGTGAATTAATGGTCTCACATGTTTCACCTTTATTTTGTGATTGTGCAGTTTTACGTTTAGTGTATAATTAATGTTGTTGTTTCTTTTCTACAACTATATTGTAAAAAATTATATATATTAATATGTGATACTTTTATAATAGATAGAGGAAAAAGAGAAAAGTAACCCTTCACAAACAAGATTAATGAAAATGACTGCTCCTGAGTGGCCATATATCCTCACTGGCTGCATCTCTTCTCTTCTTATGGGGTTGTCAATTCCTGTCTTTGCGATCATATTTGGAGAAATTCTTCAGGTGAGAAAAATACTAGCAATATTGTGAAACACATTTTAAAAGTTTTTCAGTACTGATTTAGATACTTAGAGGGGTTGGTTAGCACCTCTATTTAACACTATATGCAATGGTTGAATCTGCAGTATTTGCTTTAACTCATTCATAGTTTATGTCTAATTCTCATAATTAATGTCCAGCCATAATATGTATAAGCACAATATATATATATTTAACTACCTTATGTATCTTGTATAGATTACTAATGAAGTAATTGTTTTTGTATGTGTGTGTGTGATAAGAACTAAAGTACACATATGTTATAAACGAGTTAAGAAGAGTTTATTACAAATTCTATATATCTGAGCATCTGAAAAATTATGAAATTTTTCCAAAAATTGAAGGAATGTTCCAATTAGATGTAAAGCAACTTTTATAAGTTTGGAAACATCATTACTTTCTTATGTAAATGTTTTAGGCACAAGACTTAAGCATAACTTTTTCAACAATATTAAGTCTTTTTTTTTTACATATTTAATTGTAAATATTCAAGAAGGTTATTCAAGTTCAAAAGTAATAACATAGAGAAGCTTTATATAAAATAATCAAAAATTATCATATTCAAATTAATCTTTTGTAACTTAGGTTTCTTTAGATACAGTGTGTCTGATTTGGTACAATAGACAATATACTTAGATATTTAAGCTCATACAGCATATTTATCAGGGTGGAGGTAGGGAATTTTATTACTACTGTTTTTGAAACTTGTAAAATAAATACCATGTTTCATTTCCTAACAGTAATAAATGCTGACCTATATATTTTTGGTTTTATTAAGGTGTTCTTAGAGGTATGTGACTACTGTACTACTGAAATGCCATCTTTAGATGATAAATACTTTACATATGTCCCAATTGTCTGGTTGTATTAAGCTGCAGACAGTAAATAGTTGTTTTAAATGTGGGACATTGTGTGTTTCAGTATCCATATATTCATTTTTTTTCACATCTGAGGCTTGTCAAGAAAAATATATTAAATCTGATAAACTTGTATCCATACCATTATGTAGGTTTTAGTTTTCTTTAGACATCTCTCTTTAATATACCATGAAACATTTCATTCTTCCTGATTTGAATTTGTACTGTAGTTTTAGTTGTCCATCTTTTACGTGAAATGCTTTATTTTTATAGAATATAGGTATTGAGTATAATAAACTGAAATGTTGAATCCATATAAACGACAATAAAGTTATATATATTTATTAATTTTTGTATGTGTCACAAATCTGTTAGAATAATACTAAGTTTTTGTCTGTCTGAAAATGCATGCGCACCTTACTATCCAAATTTCCATGGGTGCACACTTCATTTTAATGGATCTAAATATACTTTTGTAGACATTTTGTGCAACATGTTAAAAGCTTATCAAACCTTTTAAAAATGTCTAACATTAGCTTGTAGAATAACATTATAAGTTTATTTATTGATAGTAATTAAGTATGGTAAAATGCAGCCCTAACTAAACTAAATAAAAAAATGTACATGTATTCTAGAAACCCTGTATTTAAATGAAAACTGTTGCAATAAAGATAATACTAATTTGACCATAAATGTTTTGTAGGTCGCTGCTATTTGTTACACAATATCAAGTATAGCTATTCCAAAGACTTAGAACAAGCATCAACTTAATTTATGTGTACACTTACATAAAATGTATACATGTAAAAAGATAAAATATGTTTTGATATTACAGACTTCACATTTTAACTACTGCAAGCATTGCTATCACCTATTCTAAGAATATAAACTGAAATGATTATCCAGCTGCTGTTTAACTCAATTATATGTGTTGCTTGAACAACTAAAATTAATCTCAAAATAGCTGAAAATGAAGTTCTTATGACCAGCAGGTACAAATATTAAAATTTGAAAAATATATACCTGCTTTTGATAATCATTTCTACCTTAGAATTATTATTAATACTTATTATTTCTCAAAAGGCTAAATTTTTGTATTGTAGCCAATATATAATGATTTCATATTATTGTTGGTTGTTGTCTTTATTAAAAAAAAGTTTTTCTTGCTCTAAGATGGCAATTTGTAATTAAATGTTGTGGAAAATGAGTAGTTTTTTTCAAAGTTGCAAAAAAGTTTTTAATTTCATGTACAGCATTGCCAGGTGGCTCTAAGAAAAGATGAAGAAATAATATATGTTATAATCTGTGTTTTGGTGGTAGAAATTCTGTGTTTCTGATATGTTGATGATATATATTTTTTCTGTGACCAAACCAAAGAAGTGGTTTTGAAAACATTTCAAGAACTTTAATCATATTAACAAACTTTCTTTGTTGCCAAAACAAATATGGAACCTATTCTCTCTCTCTCTTTCTGTATACTGAAAACTAACAAATTATTTAAGTTATGTTCACTTCTTTTCATGTCACTATAAAATGGTGTCCTGGTTTCACTCATTTCAAGTCTTCTGCTTTTTTGTTCCATTTATTGTGTTTTTTCACTAACTGCTGCTCATCATAACGTGTTCTTGTATTATTATCTGAAGGTTACATTTTCACCCACTCTTGTACACGTTCTTAAGCCATGTCAGGTGTCCAGGTTTCTGTATTGGCTTTTGAATAGGGTTCTTTTTAAGCAATCCATACAGAAACACATACATGGTAGGCTTAAGACAAAAATCCAAAAATTCCAGTATGTAACCTTTATCCATGTAAAAGGATAAGTAAGTTTATGTCCTTGAGATGCCCAATTAGCGAGAATGTCATAACTACAAAAAATACATGGAAATTCAGAAAAGTATTACTTGAATATACCTGAATAAAGAGAGATCCTATATTAGTTATCAAAGGGTGAAATTCATTGCTATTTCAGTCATTACACTTATACACCTCTAAAGGAGTAAATTCCACTTTCTAAAAATGTTTGGATTATAACATCTGAATGTGAAGAGCATTTTGTATTATTTTCTACATGATCTTCCTTTAGAATCAATAGATATGCAAGAATTGGGACTTATTAGATAACTGTTAATTTTAAGGCCTGTTTTATTTATTTGTAGACACTCTCAAATCCTGACCTGGATGAAGTAAGAAAAGAATCTACTTTTTATTCACTGCTCTTTTTGGCAATGGGTGGAGCCAGTGGAATAGCTTCTTTCCTCCAGGTTTGTTTGTGTGGAACTTAAATATATTACTTTTTAGTACTTGGATCTAAAAGAAATATTATTTTTACAAATTCTATTTAAAATAAATTTATTAGAAAAACAAATTTAGGAAGATTTTTAAAATATTAGTACTATGGATTATCTTTTTCTTCAGGTGCTCTATATTTTTCTGTTGATGGTAAAAGAATGTGAAATATAAAAAAAGTAAGTTAAGCTGTATCACATACATTCAAAGTAGTTAATATACACAAGTGAATAATGTACCTTCAAAATGCAAGTTTTTGACATTAAATAAAGTGTCATTCATTCTGCTGTTCTGAATGGTATTTCAAAGAGAGATAGTAATGGAATACTTTTTTAGCATAATATGTGGACTACTGATATTTAATAATGTATGCATTATATGATGCAGTTTAAAGTATTTTGACACAATATACTTCATGTAGTCTTTTATGTTTGGGATTGCTGGAGAAAGACTGACTCTCAGAATCAGGAAGCTGTGTTTCACTACTATGCTTAAAATGGTAAGAAATTGTCTTTTTCATTGGTTTTGTTTTCATGTGCTTGAAGAAATAAACTTTACTGACATATGGTGGCTTTAAAATTATTTATTATTTACCTTTTTGTCAGCAGAATGAATCTGTGAGTTACAATTATAATCATTTAAAAAAGAAAGATAAATTAACTTTTAGAGGAATTTGCTACATATCATTTGGCTAAGAAACTGTAATGTTTCTATTAGTGAAATAAAAAATACACAGTTTTATGTAAAATTCTTATGTTAACTTCATGTGACTTATATCAGCAGCAGTAGGTTAATTGCCAAACTTCTTGAATTAAGTTGTATCCTTAATTTCTTACTCAAAAGAGTATTAATTATTTGAAAACTGTTTTCATTGCTTCCTTTTGCAAAAATCTTGAATGAGCTGTGCTATACTGCCATTGTCATATTCACCAGAAGTGTTATTACATATATTGATTTGTTATTAATCATCAAATTCACATGTCTTTTGTGCATGTTTAGAGCCATCTAGTGATTAATCTAGTATTCCAAGTAATGCATCTAAAACATTTAAATACTACATTACATGATTTTAATGGTGATATTTTACCTTTGAATCTGAAAAACATATGTAATCTACCTTTTGGTTTAAAGATAAATTGTAAGTGGATAAGCTGTAGGAGAAAAAGCTTATGAAATTTAGTTGTCACATTTAATACATATTTGTCAATATATAGCAATATTATTGACAAATACTCTTTAGGAACATTCCATTTTCTTTAGGTTTATTGGCTTTACCCATCTAATCCCATAATAATGTTATCAACAATGTTATTATTAAAGCCATTTTTATTTAAAAACACTTTATTGTGTTGAAATTCTTTATGTGGATGTTCATGTGCGCTAGTGATGTTATAAGCAAAGATGAATTAATATCTTAATTAAATTTATGTTAAAGAAATTTGGAATAAAACTGTCAAACTTAGCGTAAGCAAGTAAATATATCTTTATTATATATTTCACCCTCAAATTTGCCATTATTATTGTATATTATCAAGAAAAGTAAGTTGATGTTTCTACCTTGAATCTTATACTAATATGTTGACCACTGGGATATCTCAAAATTGAGATATTGAAAATAGCAATGTGTCACCAACATTTCTCCAATAATATATAGGCTTGAAACTCAATCTTTCAACACCAATAGTGAAGGAACAATTTGGAAAGTGTTGTTGAAACCTTGATCTCATTGCCACTTCTTTAATTTTATCATACACAGTTTTTATAAAATAGGAAATATGATTCTTTTTTGGCAGATTTCAACATTTTATGGAAAGAATACATATAAAAGTTTATCATACTGATATAAGATAATCACAATGTTTGTTGCTGAGGAATTGTACAGAAACTCTGGCAAACTTACATAGCAAACATCTTAATCAAATGTTAAGTTGTGCACTTCATTAGAAAATATAAAACCTTCTTTAATGGTATATTCATCATGTGTAAGCTGTTAAAGTAACTTGACCAAAAACCAGCTACTTCATGATTATATATGCCTATATTAGGAGATATGAGTCTAACAGAACAACTTCTTATAAAATATTCTTCTTGCATCAATAGCTTTAAAGTTTCAAGAAATAAATCTCTGTAGGGTTTGTTTTCATCTTAATAAATGTTGTTGTATCATTCAGAATATCAATATTTTCTATTTTAGTATTATAATCTATTTGATTCAGTATGAATGTACTGTTTCCCTTATCAGATTCTATTACAACTATTTTGTCATTTTTGCTAAGATAATTTATGGCTATTAATTGTTTTTAATAAGGTTAGAAAGATTATATTGAGAATTATACATGGAGCTATCCCACTCATAATTTTGATAGTATTTTAAATGTGATTTTTGAGTTTTCATAAATTGCAATAAAATTACCATAATTGATGGTAACGATAGATTTTTGTGTGTAGGGGAAGTAAGCACAAGAATGAACAGTATATTAGGTGAATGATGTCTATACTTAATTAATGAATTTTTTAAGTTCAACATTGAACAACCTTAAAACTTTATAAAAATATATCCATAAACATAATTGTTGGTAACGATAGATTTTTGTGTGTAGGGGAAGTAAGCACAAGAATGAACAGTATATTAGATGAATGATGTCTATACTTAATTAATGAATTTTTTAAGTTCAACATTGAACAACCTTAAAACTTTATAAAAATATATCCATAAACATTGTTACATAAAAGTTGTTTCATTTTTACAAGGTTGTGAAAAGCTTTTACATCAAATATCTGTAAAGCAATCAGTGGCTTTCATAAAACTTCTTAAAACAAATGAGCATATGTAAATATGCAAATGTATAAAACTTATGTGCTTTAATTAGTAAATTTTCTTTACATTTGTTGCTATTAAGCCTAATCTGGAAGTCAGTACCATTTTGTTTATCTTTGTGCTATAAACAAACCATATCACTTAGAATAATTTGTAGGTTTATTTTATATTAACTACATTTTTTTTGTTTCAGAAATAAACTATAAATTTGCAATTCATACTTCAATAAGAACTTTTATTAATCTAACTCTGTCACACCTGAAAGGATGCATCCCATAAAAAATAAAAAAAATATAGAAAACAATCTTATAGTCGTTCATCCACACATTAAAAGAACAATTCAAGTTGAATGTTATTCAATGAAAAAGACTTATTTATTTAATTTTGTCCACAAGAATATTTTTAATTGAAAATTTGATTTTGGGTTGATTTCATTGTGCTTGGAACCAAATCATTAGTGTTTATGAATTTCCTAAATTTTTTCTGTGGATAATGCTATATCATAGCCACTAGGAAGAAAGTTATAACAGATTTGAACAAATTAGTGCTAATTTAACCTTGTAACTTGAATACAAGAGTAGTTTTATCAGTTTTTAGCCACTCACTGTTTCTCAACCTTGTTTGTCATACTGTGATGTAATTGCCTATATCTCAGCTTTGAGAAGTTATAGGCTAGTAATCTAATCACACAATGAACACTCTTTTGTTGTCCTTTTCAGCTGTTTAAACCAATTTGACTTCCACAGTAGAGAATTCTGTAGAGTTTGGAACAAAATGATAAAAGCTTAGTTTGGTGATATGTTGATAGAAAAATAAATGTGTGTGAACAGCTTTCCACAATTAAAGTCTTAATTTATTTTCTAAAAGCTTTCTTTGTCATTTTATACTTCATTTGAATTTCAATGTTGCAATATGATAGGAAAATAAATGCTTTTCATGTAACAAGATGAGGTAGGCTTAGTTAGAACTATTTGCACTTGACTGTTTCAAGTTTTCTTTCACAGAAAAGGCTGCTGTACATTAGGCTTTATTGGCCTAAGTAACGGCTTGAATGGGCAAGGAAGCTCACTGAAAAGAAACGTGAAATATATATATATATATATATCTAAATGAATAAAAAACAAGTTTAAAACTTATTACATATATTCAATTGAACCTTCTGGTTAACAGTTAAAAAAGTTGGCTTGCTTATAATTTTGGTATGGTAGAAAAGTTATTTTATTGTACAGTAGTGGTTGTAAACACAAACTGCATGTAGTGTTTTTCAAATCAAAACAAAGACAAACTTGACAGTTTTATAGGATGTAAGCTTTGTAAGAAAGTTTTACAAAAATGTAGGAAGACATAAAAATCAGTAATTAAATCTACAACAAGGTAAGCATTTTTATTTTATTTGTGAAAGCTACATAACTTGTAGGAAGTTCTTCTGAAGTTTTAAACAATTTCATTCAGCATCTTTTTTTTAAATCAGATAAACCCACCCAGGTGTTCTAGAATTATGTAAACTACAACTTATATAATTGTTTTTAACCTAGTTTAAGAAATAGTAACACTAATATCAGATACAAATTGTAAAGAAATTTAATTTGTACTAATTATTTACTTCCATCAACTAATAACCTTCTAGCAATAAATAGATTATAAATCTGTGTTTATGTTTAATTTCTCCATGACCCATTAATATAAATCTAGGCCAGTTTAAAATCAAAAACAAAATTTGTTTTGCAAAGAAGAAAATTTTATTATTTTTTTGTCTGAAAGGGATACTTAAAAAAATTACATTTTAATAGTTCACATCTTATTGAAATATAAAGGTTTTAGGTTGTTTATTTTACCTCCCATTAACCATAACTCATCTATCTAGTTTAGGCAGCATTTTTTCTCAAATGCATATGAATGTTTGATTAAAAATACTGGATTAAGATTTTCAATCTAACTGTCATGAAAGTGAAATTATTTAAATAAATACCTGTTGATAATTAGCTTGTAAGGGTGTGAATTAAAGGAACCTACTTTCAAAAAATGATGCTGCTGAACATACTGCTCACTTTTAGTTTTGGGTATATTATGAAAGTAACATTCAATCCTATTATTCAGTTTAATGAGCCAGACATGGGCCTTGTGGAAGAAGGTGTGGCTAGCTGGATGCCTTCTCTCTCATCAGTAGTTCAAAATCAGGGATGACTATGCTTAAGCACTATGGGTCTATGATCTAATAATTTAATCCACATGTGCACATATGGTACCATGCAAATTGAAAATTCCAATTTACATAAAAATTAATTTTTCAGACTAGTACTATCTAAAAATCCAAGAGCTTTTACAAAACCAATCAAAACTGATGTTCTTATTACATTTTAAACCAAAATTATTATTTCTTGCTATTGTGTAGTTTAGTGTTCAAATGTGTGTTTCATATTTTTTAAAATTTTTTTGCATTGTATATCTGTTTGGCTTTTTTAAAAATATAATTTGACTTAACATCCAGAAATTTAACTAAAATAAAGTTACTTGAGACTTTACTGTAGTACAAAAATGTACTTGCATCCATTTTTAATAGTGATTGAGTTGTTAAATAAGATAAAATCTGGATGAAACTTGGCAGGAGTATCCAATGTATTTACAGTAATTCTTTCTATTTCATGACAGGATATTGGTTGGTTTGATAGCACCAAGAACAATACAGGGGCACTATGTGCCAGGTTGTCATCAGATGCTGCCAGTGTGCAAGGTGTAAGTTTATATGATGTATATTTCTTTTGACCAAAAAGAAGTAACAAGAAATAAAATTGTAAAAGTTCTATAGGAGATGATTATATGTTTGTGCATTAATATATAACACAAATACCTCACCTGTTTTATGTTTGAAATGTTTTAAAGTGAAGTGTTTCTATGTTAATACAGCCATTTTTTCTAGGATAGAATTTAGAAGTTTGATTTTAGCCATGCAAATAAATTTATGGAATAAAAATTTCAAAAAGATGGCTTTTTAAAGAATAATTTGCATATTTCTAAATTTTGTATGATGTAGAAAAAATTAAGATAGTTTTAGGGTTTGGACACTCCATTTTTTTAAGTTGTTTAGTTGTAATTTCATTGCCAAGTCTGATTTTTACTTAACAACTTTTGTCCATTCTATAATAATAGGATTTAATGACACAACTTGAAATATAAATAATGAAGTATTTCTTTTCACAATGTTTAAGCAACCACTCTTAGTTAGGCTTAATAGGCTGAACATACCATTGTGTACTAATCACTTGTAATTCATCATTCTGTAAGAATCTTAACTTAAAAATCTAGTGTTAATACATTTTGGAGTGACATTTGAGATTTTTAAGAATTAATAGTGATTTTTTTATCTCTGTCTTGTTGTTCTTTGTAGTCCAATATTTTCTGTGAGCCAATGTTGGAAAGCAGTCTTTTGCATAACACAACATGAAATTATGAAACTAAATGAGTTATCTTCATAGTATTTCAAACAGTGATCATTATAATTGATTGAAAAATTACATATTATAGAAAGAACTTTTGTAGAACAGTAGTTAGGATAGGATTTAGATAGCTACATGTTTGTCATATTAGATTTGACTTAAAACAGCTGGATGAAAAAGTTTCATAAATTCTTATAACAATTTCCTTCCTTTTTTTTTGCTCTCTCTTTAAGGCTACAGGTTCACGCATGTCCAACCTTTTTCAAGCTTTCTCTACTTTAGTAGCAGGTTTAACCATTAGTTTCTATTATAATTGGAAACTTGGCCTGGTGCTCTTGTGTTTTGTTCCTCTTGTTCTCTTAGCTACGTACTTTGAAAGCAGAATGATCAGTGGCCAATTGCTGAGTGAAAAGTCTGCAGGAGAGGAAGCCACCAAGGTACAACTATGACATTTATGTAAAGTTTATAGGAGGTTTTCTTGCAATTTATGAATAGATTAAGTTCTGATTGGAGGTTAAAATGAGTTTCTTATGTAAGTCAGATTTTTTGTCAGGTATATGTAATTAAAAAATATTAATGAGTAGCTGTTTTTCTTTATTATATTATAAGTTAAGATTATTTTTCCACTCAGTCATGAAGTACTTTTGAGCACAAAAACTGTTTTCAGTAAGTTTTTCAGTTATTTTATTTTGAAGTACATTATAGCTTTATTTGTTTTAGCATGTTGACTTTTATTTTAGTTTGTTGTATAACATCAATTTCATGGGTATATTGATTTTAGTTTATGTTGATAGAGTGGGTTGAAGCTATGATGACAATCACAATGTTTCCTATGTACTTAAAAGGAAGAGAGTTATTTTCTTTAAAAAGAGATCTTAATATACCTACTTGTAATATTTTTTACTGCAGTTAAGATATTGATGTAGTTGTTATATACATTCTTTTACACAGATATTCCTTACTATATCATTAGCATGAAGCAACTTACAACTAACTAGCAAATTTATGAACAGAATTCTTCAGTTAGTGTTTTGGAGGTTGATGCAAGTTCCAAAAATGTAGTGTTTTAGGATGTACTGATGAACACAATATAAATATTTTGTCTTTTTTTAATATACTCTGTGGACGTAACTGTTTTGCCACAGATAGACCTGTAATATCTGATATTTCTTTTTTAATTTTCTCTATGAATCACTCCTTTTTGTACATCAAAAATTAAAATAACCTTCCAATATATTCAGTACTATATATATCCCAAAATAGTTTGGGACAAATTTGGTTATATATTTTACTATTATGAAGGAATATACTGAAATGGGTAAAGCTCCTTTTAGGGTTTTTAGTTGTTATTTCACTCATTGATATGCAGCACATGGTTGACACTCACTCATCAGAAACTCCAGGTCACAAGTTCTACATGAAAACTCTTTGTTCTCATGACCCAAAAACTTGAGGTTACTGAAACATGCAGTTCAGAGATAACCTTGAGTCAAAACATTTACTTAAATCTTACTAATTAATGTTATTATTCTTACCTTCTGTCACCACTTATCTTTTAAGTTTACATTGAACCCATTATCGGACTCATAACTAACCATGAGTTAGTGATCTGTTACTAATTTTCTTAATAGATTGATATACAGTGGTGAACTTTCCCAGAGATTTGACAGTTTTTTCTGTTTACAGAAAGTCTCATCTTGCAATAAACATTTTGGTTAGTTATGCACTAGTGGTGCCCATGCAATTAAAGTGCAATGTTTCTATACTCACAAGTGATTGCTTAACTAGATTGTAACCTTTGTTTTTTTATAACTGCTGTTAAATAGCTGTAAATTCTAAAATGTCTTTAATAGAAACATTGCAAGGAAGATTACATTGAAGTATTCTCATTATATAACATTAATTAACTTAAAAATAATATTTTTGTGTATACTACTTTCACTACCTATATATACTTGTTTCATACTGTTCACTATCAGTGATGTCTTGTTATAAGACTCAGTTGTATAGAATTGATCAAATGATTTGGGTAAAATCACCCATTTTCTAAGTAAATTACACAGGGTACCACTCTGTCACTAATTAGTGGGATTAATTTCAGCAGTGATGACATCTTTTGTATGGTTTGTATGTTATTAGGAACCCTGTAATCAACAAAGTCACTTATCCACAAACAATTTGGTGTATTAACCATCTCTATGGGTAGGGCAAAGTGCACTTTGCATGTTGTGTCTTTTTAGAATTACATTCAAAATATAATTAAACTACTTTATTATCATTGTATATAAATAAATGTGACATCAAAAACATAGTTAAGAAATCTAATTTTAATGTTATTTAAGTTTTAAGTTCTTAATCTTATTCCAAGCTATTTAAAAAATCCTCAATCTCCCCTAGTATGAGAATTGTGAAATTTGTATTCTAGGTCTTCCCTCTTCTCTAATTTATTTACCACCCCTCTGAGATGTAAGGAATTTAACATAAATTACTCATTATAATATAGATATTACTGAAGCAAAGCATAATTTTTATAGACTTCAGTCTTATTTGTTAATGGAGTCATAGACTTTAAAATCAGACCTACTTGCCACGCCCACCTTTAAAATCCTATATTTCACAAATTCACAGTAGTTTTATCTGATGTTTTATAGTATATTATTTATAACCAATAGAAAGTCAAAGTTTAATCTGTCAAATGATCTATTATATTGTTTTCCACACAGAGTATTGTCTATTTCATCTTCAGTCAGAAAGTTTCTCTCACAGTGTTCTGATCGTCAAATATAGCTAAATTTTTAAAGGTTCTTGTGCAACAGTTAGAAAGCCAGATATAGAACATTGTTTGTATTGTGTGTATTCTTGTTCTGTGTTCTTAGGTGCATTATTTAAGTAAACAAAAATCATTTAGTATAATAGTACCATTAATATAAACATGTAGGCTTAATTTTCATCAACAGCAAAAAATTAAGACACAGGTCATACTATATTTCTTGTTTTTCATGCATGTTCTTTATTGTTATAAAAGTAACTAAAATGTAAAAATGCAGAAACGTATTAAGTTAGATAAGGTTAGATTATGTAAGGTAATGAAAATTCTTCATGGAGTATTTATGGATAAATCATTAGTAAAAATTCTTAATTAAATTCTGATTTTTTGTGTACAAAAAACTTGTAATGTTTACTAAAAACTTGCCAAATTTTGTGAAGGTACACAAGGCATTAAAAGTTACAGGATAGAAACTTATGGTTACTTTGTGGTTAAAAAATCAGTTGCATTGAACAAGCCTGCACCGAAAGTGTTAATAATAATTTAGAAAAGTGTGTACTAAGGGTAACAGTAAAATTTTGAAAGTACTTATAGGTTTATAAAGATGACACACTGTAGTTTGGGCCAAAAAAATGTGATTTTAAAAACAGTTGTCTAAATATAATGACTAAAACATTAACTACATGCAGTGTTTGCTGCTTGTATTCTGAGGCCCGGTATGGCCAGGTGGTTAGGGTGCTTGACTCGCAATCTGAGGGTCGTGGGTTCAAATCCACATCCCACCAAACATGCTTGCCCTTTCAGCCATGAATGTGTTATAATGTGACAGTCAGTCCCACTATTCATTGGTAAAAGAGTAACCCAAGAGTTGGCTGTAGGTGGTGATGACTAGCTGCCTTCCCTCTAGTCTTACACTGCTAAATTAGGGACAGCTAGTGCATATAGCCCTTGTGTAGCTTTGCATGAAATTAAAACCAAACCCTTCTTATATTCTGATTTTGTTTTGTTTCTACCACATCACTTGTTATTATTTATTACATATATTTAAGTAAAATTTATGTTAAATGTATATTTTCAAGAAGAATATAATTTTTGGTAATTTTTTCTTAATTAGAATAAGTCACATCTACAATCAATTTACCTGTATTTTATAGATATTGAACAGTAAATTGGTTAAAAATGTGAACATATGATGGTTTTTATGACTATTTCATAACAGTTTCTTTGGTATTTGTACAGATCGCTATCGAAGCTATTGAAAATATTCGAACAGTAGCATCTCTCCATGCTGAAAATACATTTTATTCTAATTACTTAAAAGAACTCACTGGTCCCCATAAGTAAGTCTGTTGTTTTTATGTACATTTCATTGTTACATTTTACCTATATTTTCTTACACCTTGCATTATGATTCAGAATTTTATATCAGTTTTTGCATTTAAAGTAATTGCCCTAATAATTAGAAAATCTTCAGAGTATATCATCCATGTACAAATTAGGTATTATAAATATGCATTTTAAGAATTAAAAAACAATCAGAATGCTTGTAAACATTAACATCCCTCATGAAAGCTTCATTACACACACTTTCATAAAAGATTAGATAAATCATTTAGATTTGTACTTCTTGATATTGCATGATCTAGAAACTATGCATGTTTATCAGACGTGAACATCTGCCAAAAATTTATTGTACCTGTAAGTTCTCATAACTAATATATTGGTGTAATTGTCACTGAGTGCAGTAAAACTTCAACACTATAGTGTATCAGTCTGTATTGCACCCATTCATTTAGTATCAGGTTCTGTAATTTCAAAAGGGAATATTTGCAGCATATAAAAAAATTCAAAAAGTTTATAAAACTACAACTTGTATTTTGGTTTTTACTTATTTTGTATGTGTCATTATAATTTTAATAAGAATCACCTACACAGAAAGAGAAAATACATGTATTTTTATATTTCATATTGAGTTTAGATCTCTTTTTAATTATGTTTTTTGTTTACTAGTGTATGTAATTTAACTTATTTTTTCTGTTTGTTAGTCTGTGGAAGTTTAATATATTTCTCTTTGTACTTCTAATATGAAGCTAGTCTGTGGCATCTTTCACATGTTTCTTCTGTTTGTACTGGTAACACAAGGTTAATCTGTATCAGTTTGACATGTTTTCTCTGTTTATGCTTGTAACAGAAAGTTAGTCTGTAGCAGTTTATCATGATTCTTTTTTTTTGTATTTTTAACATGTGGTTAGTCTGTAACTGTTTAACATATTTCTTCAGTTTCATTTGTAACATGAGGTTAGTTTGTGGAGCATATTCAATATACTGTACACAGGCAATTTGACAGAATTAGCAGCATGAAAGTACAGATTTAGAAAATTAAATTAGTATTAAGAAACCTGAAACACTGTTTATATTTTAAACATTAGAATTATTAATAAACTCATATTTTCAACAAAAACTTAAAATAGCCATGTCTTTTATTTAGCTAATATATAATTATAACTTGAAAATATTGGACACATTAGCTTTAAGGACTTGTGTTTTGTATATATTCTCTTTGGTTTGATAAACAAAGGAAATTCTATCACAGTAAGACAAGTTATATTATTGTCTGCTGACCAAATACGGGTTTTCAGTGAGAAGAGAGTTAAAAAACTATTTGAGATATTTGTTGCATGCAACTGTTGATGAGCCTTTTTTTCTCAATACCAGAGCTCATGTGGTTTGGTTACATCGTATAAAGTCTTAATTGAAATTGTATTTGTATCATGATGTAATATGACATATATATGACTACTGAATAATATTCTACTCAATTGGGATTAGTCATTTTAGATGTGTTATGTAATTATAAGTGAGCATAATGACAGAGAATCTTGTACTACTGTGCCAAGCAGAAAATATTAACTTACATAGAAGTTTTATGTGTAAACAAAATTGTATAAAATGATAATGAATAGCCCAAAATAGGAATTAATGTTGTTATTCTTTGATTTATATGGAGAGTCTGAAGTTTCCAGTATTTGCCATTGACTAAATGTGCACGGGCTCAGTCCATTGGAGAAGGAATTTTGAATATAATTCTGAGTTTACTATGTGTATCTACACAGAATATGGCAAGCTTTGAATTTTGCACTTTCATAATCTCTAGAACATCCAAAATGTACATCAGTAGTTTATTTCAATACCCCAGTATATTGTATCTTGTATTTCTACTCCTCTACAATGAACTATTGTTAAATCAGCAATGTAGGGTAGAATGACTACTTGATAACTCTGAAATCATGTACATAATACCATGTTTAGTGGCACTTTGTAAAAGGTTGAGGAACGTGCACTTTGAAACTGACCCATGCAAATAGGGTTAATTCATTGGGTATTTATATAATATTTTTTCATTAATGTGCTTGATTCTACTTGACCATATTATATTGCAGCATTTATTTACCATAAACCACTTTTTTTATGTTTGCTACTAAAAATACAAAAAAAATTCCTAAGTTTTTTATTTTTAACAGTCAATAAAAATGTTACTCAAGTCAATTATTTGATTATTCTCATGACAAGGCTAAAAAATAAACCATTATTCTCACATGAGAGGACTAAACAATTTGCACTACAAATAGAGTTTCTTTACCCACACTGGGCAGAGTATATATAATCCATAATGTAGTTTTGTACTTAAGAACAAATGAATTAATGGCAATATTTCAATTATTTGGATAATTGGAGTAATCAAAAATAGTAATAACTTGAAACCTTAATTTTGATTAATTGATTATTTTCTGAGTTTTGACATCGATCAATTAAGCTAAAAAAAATCTTAATTAATTGAAAATAATGAAAATCATAATGGCAACGTTACAGTTATTGGATAGTTGCAATAATAGAAAACATTAATAATCATAAACATCAATCTTAATTAGCTGATTATTTTCATCACAATATTCAATTAATCAATTATTTTCTGAGACACTAATCAATGCAATTGCTGCTTATAGGTAATCGGTTATAACGATTAATCATTTAATTTGCCCATGTTCAGTAATTAGCTAAGTTAATTAAAATATTTCAAACATTTATAAAGTGATTTGTAAATCTGATTTTACATTACATTTTGGTTTGAACATTGTATTAAAAACGTTTTTATATTTATATTGCTTGTGCCTTTACACTGTTTTATTTTTAACATGTAATGTATAAATATTTTTGTTACACATTATTGACATGTTTAAGCAATGCCCATTGAGCATAACCACAAAAAAAATACAACCGAAAGTTGTTAAAGACAGAAAAAAAAGTTTTTATTGATGTGTTACTGATTTCTAGATTTTGAAATATAATTACATGTTAGAAGAAAATGCTCTCTTTAATTAGTTATATCAGTATATGCTGAAACAGGATTTTAATTTCTAAAACATTTACAGATCATCCAGAAAAAGATCTCATCTGAGGGGATTGACATTTGGGTTTTCTCAGAGTCTTCCTTCATTTGCATATGCAGCAGCCATGTATTATGGAGGTATTCTAATTAGTGAACAAAGTTTGGAGTATGGGGATCTGTTCAAGTAAGATATTTTCAGTAGATTTGTATATGATAAGCTTGTAATAAGTAGTGTCTTCTTTTCTATAAAAGATTAAAGCATTTAAAAAATTGAATGACTTCAACAGATAATTCACTGTGTTGCAAAATAAAATTAGTGAATTTAAATCAAAGGTTAATGTGCATTTAAAAGTCATCAACCATACTAACAAAATTGAGACACTAAGGTCAAATTGAATACATTTGTTTTTGAATATAAACTACTTAATTAACATATTAGTTTGGAATTATCTTTAATAGTTAGATTCATAATGAAAGCCCTATCCATGTTGAAGAGAGAAGTTCTGCATTGGTTGATATTTTTTGTATGAAAAATATTCCACTTGATTTTATCTGGTGAAGAACCTTCTAGCGATAGTTATAAAGTTATCGTATAGACAACTTCAAGTTGTCAAATGCTGGAGGTTTATGAATTTAATTGTCACTCTCTGAATTGCTCTTCATCTCATTTTTGCGGAAAATATAAAAACTAAATGCTACTTTAAAACCATAAGTAAACCTTAAATGTTTGATGATATACTAAAATACTCTACCTCTAACTGTATTTCCACCACATCAATAGTTTCAAAACATATGAAAAGAAAAACTTTAGTTCACGATTATGAGTCATATAATACTGTGTAAAATATTGAAACATTAAAGCAAACAAACATAAATATACTTACAATTAAAGAGTAATAATACACAAAACAAATCTCCACTGTACTTACAGTAATCATTATTATAGTGGGGTTTCAGTGACAGCCTAGCTCTCTTACTACAAGCTCGATAGATTATGCAGACCTTGTGACGATCACAATTTCCATATTATAACTTTAATATATTTTGTGTTCCTTCACAAAATTTGGCAAGCTTTCAGTAAACATTACAAATCTTTTGTACACAAAAAAATCAAATTTTTTAATTAAGTATGTTAACTAAAAATTTGTCCATGAATATAATGGAGTCAGTGTTGACTGCTCCTAATGCAAAATTATATTCATGTTAAGATTAAAAATACTTTTCTTTATCTGAAAACTTGCAATTTCATTTGCATAATCTTTCAAATTTCCTTATATATATATATATAATGTTGTTTTCAGTAAAACTACATTTTATCTGTTATTTTCTATACTCTAGCTTTATTTCCATTCAATCAATTTGACCAACCTCAACCACTGTAAAGAAATACAAAATGGTTAAATTACCCATTTTTATTTCTGGAATGCCTGCAAATTGTAACATGAAACTACAATTAATTATTCTAAATAGCTTAAAGCTTGCAACAGTATACCTATCTTTATACTTAATTTTATGATGTTATTGCCCTTTGAACTGTGTCTAATTAATAATCTTGCCACACAATCTGTAAATCACGTGGTGAACATGTAGCACCCATTACTGTACTGAATGATGTAATTCATTAGCTACTCTTGAGCATTATCTCACCTAATCTAACCTAATAAGTAGTAATGGTCTAAAATAAACACACCACTACAATCAGGGTTCAACAACGACAAAAAATAATTTATTCAACTATAACAATACTTAGAAATAAATTCAACAATAACAATACTTAGAAATAAATTCAACATTTACCCAAACACAGTTAATAAACGTGCCTAACCAGGACTTGACACTATTATTAATGAACAATATATCGTAAATATCAATATTATTTCAAATAATAGAATTGGGAAAAAGAGTATCTATTAACTATTTATTGTTCCAATGTTTTTTCATATGAAATGGTAATTAAATAGTTTAATTACATTTTGAATGTGCACTTTGACTTGCTTGTGGTGAGATGGTTAATATGGTATGTGTATCTCCACAAAATTTGGCAAGGTGTCAGTACACAAAAAATCAGATGTTTTAATTATTTTTGATAAAAATGTGTCTGTGGATATATGGAGTCAGAATGTTGACTACTCTGAATGTAAAGTGGTTTTCATGTTAAGAGTAAAAACACTTCATCTGAAAATTGTCAAATTTCATTTGCATAACCTCTAAAACATCCTAAATAAACATCAAACGTTTTTCTTTTCAGCAAAACTTTATATTCTATATGTTTATAAAGTGTTAATTAAAATGTTGGTCAAGTTCTTCGTACCCTGTTTGCCTATAAACTTGTATCATTCAACCAGGATAATACATACTTTCTCATGGAAAGATTCTTATAAAAATGCTGTATAAAAATAGATAGTGATCTTTTCCACCGGAAAGACAGGTGATGCCTTAAGGATACAACTCTTATTTTCTAGTCATGTGGGTAATGCTGCAGCCTGAGAAGAATGAACTGCTGTTTTTCTGATAATGCCATATTTTCTCAGTCTGGAACTTGATTGTAAAAGAGAGATTTTAACAGAAAGATTTACAGTTAGATATTCTTTGACAGATTGTTTAGGCAGAGTATTCATGATGAAACTTTGTTGAATGGATGGCAACTGCCTGTTGTAGAAACACAAGTGTAGAGGACAACGTTTTGAAAGTCTTTCACCTTTCGTCTTCATCATTTACAGTTAGATTTGATGCTTTGCTAGCTCTCCAGTAAAGACACCTAAAAATAAACTTGATTTTAAACCCTGATTATAGTTTTGGTGGGTAAATATTGTTTTGCTATGTTTCATTTGTGTCCAATCTCTTTCTTTGCCTCATACTCAATCAAGATTAAAGAAAGTCAGATTAATGTCTTCAAAACATTTTTTGTAAAGCTTCCTGACATTCTGCAGTTCCTCCTCAATTACTCGACTAAAAATCACTAATCCTGAAAGTACCACAGTGGCACATAGCAAAAGCTTGATCTGCATTTTCAGCACATACATGAAATATTAAATTTACCTATGTCATGATATTAATACCTTATAATTTGAATGATTGAACTCCTTCCACCCCACTCCCCATTACTGTGGACTTTGATTTGGAGTACTATTTTTAAGTTAATAGCACTTTACTCAAAAATTAGAACCAAAAATTGGCAACTGCTAAGAAGATTTGTTCTCCCTGTATTAAAACATTGAACTGAAGATGTAACCATTCAGTAGAAACAAAAATAAATAGAAGAATTAAGCCAGATGTCAATGTAACTACTACTATTATACTGTATAGTGTTTCAAAATATATTCACTAGATTTTTGTTTAGTCATATATTTAATTTTTGATTTTTTTTCTCAAATCCCCACATTATCACTTTGAATCCAAACATTTATTACGTCGTTGTGTTTACAGGGTGCTTGAAGCTGTAATTCTTGGAACAGCTATTGTAGGTCAAGCTGTAGCCTTTGCACCAGATTATCAGAAAGCCAAACTGTCTGCTGTTCGCATTTTCAAACTACTTGATACTCCTACTAAAATTGATTCTTTTTCCAAAAGTGGTTTAAAAGTGGTATGTAATAAAGATTCCTTTTCTTTCTGTTAATACCATATATTTTTTAACATGTTATTTTGAATTGTGTTAACTATATTGTGTATTGGCAGTGTGTTTTTGTTTTTTTTCACATATGCTAAAGGTGCATTCTTAGCATTAAAGTAATCTAATTTTCAATATGATTTTGGTTCATAATCCTCATAAAGAATAATTCCACATCATCTTAAGTATAATGCTACTATTGTTTTCCTAGGTAAAAGATACAAATGGGCTATCTATACCCAGTCCACAACAGATTTTAGCATTGTAAGTCTGTATACTTTCTGATGGCCCACTGGGGTACTAGTGTAATGCATATGTATTACAGCTTTGAAGCATTAGATGTTTGTGTTAGAAGATCTTGATACAATAAATGTTATCTCAGACTTGTAAACAACAAAGTTCTTTGCTTAAAAGCTTCCTTCTGCTACATCACAAACAAAGAACTCTACAAGAAAAAAGAAAATATTTCACTTCCTTTATAAAAAAAAATTTTCTAGTTGATCAGTGAAACTAGAAGAGTACAAGTGACTTTTTCTGTTCACACAGACCTCATTAGATTTTAAACAAACTATTTGTTTTAATCTTTTTCTTTGTTTACTAATGCTTCCTATGTGGTTCCAATAACTTAGTAAAGGAATCTGAATGTTTATGTTGCCTTGTTTAATATTATTATCATCAGAAAAACATGTACATTGCTATTAATTATCATTATCTTACTCTAGGTTGTATACAAACAAAAATGCAATGATTTATGAGTAAGTTTGATTTTTTCTGATTAAATTAGTTTTCGCGTTCAACTGACAATTTATAGGAAATTTAATTATTTGGCATGAAAAAATTTTTGACACATTTATGTACTTGTACTGACTAACGTTTTTATCTTTTAATCAAACAAGAGCTGTTAGAATTGTCACTCTCAGAGTTTAAGTTGGCTCATGCATTTCTTTAGCCATTCTAAACTCTTATAATATGATAATTCTAGGATAAAACTAGCTCACAGTTACTTGATCTCCAGGAAAATATATGATTCATTAATCTAATATCATAAGGATAGGTGTAGCAACTTGTTTCAGGTGAAACAAGACGTGGTATTAAAGTCAAAACAGAATAAAACATTATTTAACCAAAATCTGTGATGCATGACCATTAAGTAGTGGTAGGACTGTTGTAAATAAAATAGAATAAATGTCATCAAATGAAGAGAATTAAACTGTTTTTAACTGGGTAGAATAGAACAAAGCAGCAAGTCTTGGCTCTCTCAGAGAAATGAATTGTTTTTCTCAGAACCAGCACATATAATCAACAGGGAGAATCACAGTGACACATAAGACAATAAAATAATAAGTTGATGATTCCAAAGTTTTAAAATGCACAATAATTTATTGTATAAAAGTAAAGCAATAAAAAACTAAATACTCTACATGTTTTGATGGAACATGCTCCACCATCTTCAGGAGACAAGAAAGACAAAAAATTTCATATTTATACAGTGGCATCATTTACAAAACTGATTTCCAGAGATTTACTTCTGTGGCACCAGGACCTAAGTCTCTATTCAAAATCATTTTATTTTAAGCAATTTTTAATGATTCTCCTGTATTCATATTTTAATTATACTTCAAAGAAATTAATTGTTTTTTTCAAAAACACCACACATGATCAACAGGAATAAACACAGTGACTTTTACAGCAAGGCTTTGTCCACTCAGAAAAATTAACTGTTTTTTAAAAAAGTTAAGAGTGAATCTCATCAGAAAGCATCAAAACTGCAATCACTGTATACAGATCTAGTGTTTAGATCTGGATCTACATTATAATATAATAAAAATTGTTAACTTGATACAACTGTAGGCACCTAAATAAGCCTATACAGATAGATAGTGTGTAACTCAATCTACTTCTTATACCATGTGCATGAACATTACCTGATTAGGCCTTTACCACTAAATGTTAGCCCTAACAACTGATCTAATAGATCTAAGTATAGCTATACTGTTAAATGTAGTTATCCAAAGATTAAACAGAAAGTGTATTTGATATTAGACTTGGAGATCTATTAGTGCTACTCCTTTTTAATGAAATCAGCCATTTTCCTGTAGGCTACTTGTCTATAATAAGCATATTTCCAAATAACAAATGTGAAGAAATTTTACATGAACATGAAACCTTCACTCAGTTGTATTTGCAGGATTCAGAAAGAGATCTAATAATAAATTGTATCTTTTCATTAAATTTTTATCTATCGGTGCTCACGTGCATATTGGAATTTGTCTAATTTGTGCTTATATTACGTCTTGTTATACTTCTATACTCAATAAATCTGCATCCATTGTTTGTTGAAATAATATAATGTTATAAATTACACTAATAAATATTTCATTTAATCTGTTATTAGGCCTATAGCATAATTAAAGTCATGGAAAGTAAGATCTAATAATTTCAATATTTGGGATAATAGAAAAAATGTGTTTTTAAGTTATGTTCCTGGAAAAGTCAAAATTCCAATTTCAATAAAAAACTCATGTATAAAATAATTTCTTCATTAAAAATAGAAAATAAGTTTGGCTGTGAGGATCCAGCTTGTATTTTGTGTCAGCCATTGTGAATCTTTGTATGTGTTTGATGAATATAAATAACAGGAAAGTTTAAGTTTAATCTTGTATGACAGAATTCAAGAGTCTTGAAAATCTAAGTATGGATTCTTGAGAAAGTCTTGAAGTTTTGTTAAACCAATAAAAATTATAGCAGCATTACACTAAACTACATTTTAATATGAGATCACTTCCCAGATTCATAGACCTCAGAATATTATGGTAAACAATTTCCTCTTGTAATGAAAACTGAAGTAATGGTTACATAATTACTGAACATAGCTGATTGTTTCTCAGAAATTTTTGCATAGTTTTACCAGCTTGTTCACAGTGAAAAAACAGTATTATTGAAAAATAACATAAAAACTGTCTCATACCACTAGTGATATGTGAGTTTAGCTGTTTGGTGAATTAATTTTGTTTTTACAAAATTAGTTGTTATAGTTGCATACAATTTGGGTGTTCAGTTGTATAAAAATAACAAACTCATCATATATCCCCCTTAGTTTGTGATGTTGTACCTATTCTTGGCTGGCTTGTTTAAATTTTGTATACATTCAAATCAATAATTTTTCAATTGCAATTATTAATTCTTCTTGTCTTTTTACAGTGTAATAGTTTCTTCCTTTAGATGTAAATCGTACACTTTGTTGTTTGTTCAGCCTCTTATGTTAATATTGAAACTTTACATCTCATTATGCTTATCATTATACAGTCCCCTTCTGCTGCTGGAGCTGTGGAATTTAGAAGCGCAGAGTTCAGTTACCCAACTCGACCTGAGATCAAAGTCCTCCGGAACTTGAACCTTGAGGTGGAACCTGGAGTAACTGTTGCCTTGGTTGGTAGCAGTGGTTGTGGCAAAAGCACCTGTATACAACTGTTAGAGAGATTCTATGATTGCTGTAAAGGCTCTGTGGTAGGCTGTTATAAAAATATGTTTGTAATATTAGCATTAACAATAAAATTAAATATATGTATATATATGTAATAACATGTGCAATAAAGATTTTATTTTCATACCTTAATTCAAGTAAACTATTAAAAGTACATTCATAATAAGTTTTTAAATGTAAATGTATGTAGTTTTTGAATATTTCTGTAACAGAGAATATTTAAATATTGATTTAAATGTTTCAGGCAGGTCTGATTCACTTCTAAGGTATTGTATTTCTTGTTCCCAATGTATAGATGTTGGATACAACAGATGTTAAAGAACTTAATGTTGCAGCATTGCGGTCACACATTGGTATTGTTTCTCAAGAACCTGTCCTTTTTAGTTATAGTATTAGAGAAAACATTTGTTATGGGGATAATTGCCGAGAAGTCACCATGGATGAGATCATCTCTGCAGCTCGCAAAGCAAACATTCATGAATTTATCAAGTCTCTTCCAGCTGTAAGTCATCAACAGTATGGAATTTGTTTGCAAATATTATAACTTTTTATTATAGTTTATTCACATTTAATGAATTATTTAACCTGTATTACTTATATATGATATTTCTATCATTGTAGGTATATATATATAAATATACTTTAAAGTAGAAATCAGTGAAAATGTAAGGTTAATAGAAATAATGCACCTTTTAAACCTTTGCAGCATGCTTATAAATGAAAGATTGTATAAGCCCACACCTATCTAGCAACTGTATCAAATTGTCAGAATTTCCTTTCCTTACAAAGTATTGAACTTTGAGCTTGTCTTAAATCTGAGTTATACAACTAGATAATAAACTGACTGCAGATTCAGTTCATATGTTAAATTCATTTGAAAAACATTAATTGGTCAATCAAAAGAAAACAAAGTCCAGTCAAACAAAAGATATTAATTATTTTGAGAGGATCAGTAAGTAGGTTTATAATAGCATTTGAACTGCACATTTTACATATTGCACATTGATACCTGTGAGCATTTTCACTAAATCCAGAGCTCTTCAGGTCTAGTAAAGAAATTTATTATTAAAATTATTATCAGTCTAATTGTTATAACATATTACACTTAACTAATCATCAACATATCTTGCTTCACCAACAATTGCACTATACAATATGAAACTTGATATTCTAAAAGTTACAGATCTCATTCCAAGTAGATACCTTAACATTTTCTTTACATGAAAATGTATTTCCCATAGATACAGTTAAGATACCTACCCCATGTGTCTTCCTTAGCAGTTTGCATGCCACTAGCCTTGAGGTAACTCCCACCTAATTTCATACAATCTAACATGAATTGCACTATTGCATGATGATGTAATCATGTGGCACAGTCCTCCACCAATAGGAGGGCAACACACCTCTATGTGCAACAACTCCCCCCGATGCATTTTTACAGAAGAACGTCATTCTTTAATGAGGCAAGGAATACAAAAGTGCATCAGAAGTATGGAGGATGGGTAGGAATGTGTGGGAGAGGTGAGTATCTATCATAAATACATTTTCAAGCGTGGAAATCGTTAACTTCAGAGACGATATCACACCTCTGCACGGCTCGATGCCTGGGGCTTCGTAGGGGCTCACCCATGGGAGACTAGATCTCTACTCGTCCAGGGTATACTCTTTGCCTGGGAAGAAAGGGAGGAAGAGGCAAACAAGCCTCATGTGTCATAGATATGAGTGGAATAAGAACATGGCTGTCTGAATACTTGCACATAAGAAGTCAGAGAGCCAATATGTGTTGTGTGGTTGGGGGTGCATTCAGACTGTACCTTGTGTGCTCACCTCAATTAAACTATCAGATGACATCTGCAGGAGGACGGCCCAGGTGTTTTGTGTGTACTCACCTCAACTCTACTGATCAGACACGACTGCAGGAGGTGGGCAGAAGTGGCATGTATTATAGGTATAGCTGTATGAGAGGTGTTACACCAACAGCATCACCACCCCACTTCCCACCATATTGGTATTCAATTGTATATCACCCCCATCATACAAGTCCAATTGGTGAAGGTTTTCCATGGTCCACCATCTCTGCTGCTAGCAACTGGTAAGTGGCAAGCATCTCTCATGCTCCACTCTATGAAAGGGGGGGTTGCAGTGAGGAGACCTGGAGAAAATGTCCAGATCCTGGGCTACACCAAAAACCTATTTTGAAAAGCCAACTGGAGGAGGTAACAGACACACCCAGTAAGGGGAGAAGAAAAGGGGTCCAATAGGTGAGAGACAGAAGGATGGGAGATAGAAAAGAAGTACAGGCAACCTCCTGGTAAAATGGTTAACACAACACAATAGAATCTAAGGAGTTGAGTTGATTGTAATGATATTATTGCTTAGACAACATTTGAAATTAAAACACTAGTTAGATAAATTGATATTGATAAGAAAAATCTCAAGAAGATGTAATCCAATGGTTAGAGTGAAAGAACAACTCTAAAACTCTCCACAAGACAGATAAAGAAATTAAAAACTATCAAACATGGTAACTTCCTTACATGGCCAAAGGGAACTTGAACGTCAAACTTTATACCTAAACTTACAATATCAAGGTATAAACTTTACATTTTAGATGGAAGAAAATGACAACTTAGCTTTTTTAGAAGACTCAATAAACAATCTTTTGCCACATCTGTTTACTATAAGAAAACATCTACTGGCTTGACAGTTGCTTCAACAGCTTCATACTAGACTCTTTCAAAGGTAACTTTGTTCTAAAGCTCAGGAACAGAGCATGTTATATCTATTTTGACAACTTCTCTCCTTAACTTCTAACATTTAAAAAAAATAAACTAGAATCTACTGAGAAGCCACATAATATATGTTGTGAGAACTACAACAACCACCTATCCTTCTTGAAAACGTGTAAACTTTTGAGTCTGGAACAAATGATTATGAACTCTTTTCATTTTTAATGATCACTTCACACTAAATAATAACATCAACTCATCCCTTTTGTTATTAATCTAATCATTACCAGTTTATTTGTGTTGTTTTTTTTGACATTTCACTCAGACCTGTAATTTAAGATGCATCTACATTTTATTCTTTCTTTATAATATTTTCTCTTCACATTATTAAATATATATATCTTTTTCACATTTTATCATACATTCCATTATATTGCTACCATTTAAATATGTGTTAAATATGTTCTAGTTAAAATGTTGAGGTTTTAACACTATTGATGGAATTTTAAACAGTTTCAAAATGCCCATAATTAAAGATTATTTTTGGTTATTACGATGTTTATTATAAAACTTCATTTTCCACATAATATTATATTTTAATTAGTTTACATTTTGTACATTTTGAATTTTAGAAATGAAAATTATCAAGTTTTAAGCACTTGAAATTACATATAAATTGTTTTTCTCGTTGCAGTTAATAATTAAATACCATGTATTGTATACGACAAGAATCAGACTTTAATCATAACTTTTTATGTATATATATATATTGGCAAGAGGTTAAAATTCTTTATGTATATGTCCTTATGAAACATGATTAAAGTGATATGAAATGATTTTTAATTTTTTCTTATATTTATTCTATGACATTTTTAAGATGCATAGCTAGAAATAATTTTAAGGAGATCAAATCCTGTAATACTGAGTTTTTCATTTAAAATTCACCATTATGAAGTTGACTTTAAGTAACAGTAAACTTGAGTTTTGTTAGTCCCCATGTTTTGTATTTAAAAATGTAAACCTGTTTTTTGGGAAATCTTTCATTTGTTGTTTTACTTACACCTAAACCTCAAAGTCCATATAAACCTAAGTTTTATAAAAAATATTTTGTTGTTTATTCAATAAGATAATTTCATAAGGCAAAGATTCTGCACTAGTATAACTGTGTATTCTGAAGCTAGTTTTCATATTGCTTTGATATACTAAAGACAGCTTAAAAACTACTTTAGATTTGTTTTTCGCATACATATTTCTATTGTTTTGTTTGTACTATAAAGAAGAAGAAAGTTCAATGGGTAGAAATTTCTTAAGGGAATTTTTTGGTATTTCAGGATTAACAATATTTGTTATATTTTATATAACTGAGTTATTTAATATAGTTTTGTTAGAAAATCATGAAGAGTAAAACTTAGTCTATACTTATAACAATTTTAAAGAAAGTCATCATTGCCTTTTTCGTTTAGGTTTACGGTAAGACTTTAACTAAATTATTTCTCTTTGTAACTTTTAGTGATGTGTTATTATTTTTGTAACAATTAAAAAATTTGATCTATTTTTTTATAAAATTTAGTGTACTAAATTAAACTGCTTACATTTCAGGGTTATGAGACAAGTATTGGGGATAGAGGATCACAGCTAAGTGGTGGTCAAAAGCAGAGAGTTGCAATTGCTAGAGCACTTGTACGAAATCCAAAACTATTGTTGCTTGATGAAGCTACATCAGCTCTTGATGCTGAAAGTGAAAAAGTGAGCATTAAAATATACTTAATAAAGACAGGACTGGTAGACAATATGCAGTATTGTTTACATTAAAAATATATATATTAATAAGTTATCTTCCTAAACATGTTTTTGTTCTGCTCTTGTTCTTTGGTTTGAGTAATAACATTGAACTTAGAGCTCTGGTAATTGTATAATTTAACTTTTAAGTGATGTATAGGATTTTTATACCTTCTATTGGTATGTTTTATAATGATAAGGAAAACTCAAGAGCAGATTTTCAAAATATTACTAAATCCCTACAACATACATTATGAACACTTATTTTATTAGAAAAAGTTTAAGAAACCTCAGTCACCAATTTAAAAAAAACAGTAAAGTCAAGCACATAAAAACCAAAATAATAAACAATGTTAAGTAAAGTGAACTATAAATTAATATTATTTTATCATTATCTCATAAATTTTTTTGTTCGTGTTAATGCTAAAGAAATGTTTTAAAAAATTTATTTATACACAGTAATAAGAAAGCTGGTATTGGATTTTATATTATCTCAAAAGCTTGATATTGCAATGACTTTTATAGGATTTTAATGTAACATCTAGAATTTATCATCCTCTACAGTGTAGGCTTTCACTGAATATTTGTCCTAAAGAAGTATTTATCATTTAGCTTACTGACACTTATATCCACAAAATGTTGATATGTGGTGTTTGCATACTAATCCAGTATTTTCGAAACTTCTTTCATTGATAACACCTTTATTCACTTACTTTGATTTACACAACACCCCTGCTGCCCCATGCAATATTTTCTTTCGTAGTGTTTTTTTTTATGTTCTTAATTATTCTTGATTTGATGAAACCCTCGTGACACCCCTAGCAACTTGGAAATCACTCTACTAGTCTGATAGTTTGCTGCCAGAAGCTTTTATGATAACATATCATTCCAGCCTTTTTTATCCTTTATAAAGAAGTATAGACTTTTTTAAACGTAAAACCTTTAACTGAAGATTAAAAGGTGAAGCTGAATGTATGTGGTGTTTGATAACCCAATTTGTTTGTCATTAAAAAAATGGAAACAGAATGAAGGGTTTGATGGTGTCCCTAGTTTTTACAGTATAAGTTGAATGAAAGAAGATAGTTTACGATACAATACTGCAGAGTGACATTTTATATGTAAGTGAAAGGTTCATAGGTTTAGTGGTGAAAAGTCATATTTAAGAATTTATAAATAAAGATCAGTAGAAGCAGTATTAGATGTCATATTTCGAAAACTTAAATGTTCGATTAATACAGTAATGGAAAGCTGCACATTTTATTGAATAACTGAAATTCAGTGGAAACAGTGCCAAAGGGCAAAAGTTTAATAAACATAAAGAAGGAATGTGATACTATTAATTCTTTTTTTATTTTTATATTTGCAGTATTTGTGATTCATGATAATGAGATCAATCTACAAAACTTAAAAAATCCATTAGTAATTGTTTAAAAAATACTTATTTTAAAGTAAAACATATGTAACTAAAATTTACCTTAATATTTTAAAACTCAGAAATAAACATATGAACTTCGAAACCCTCTTAGCTTTGCACCTAGCATATCAAGCTCAAACAATGAAGTATATCAAACTCATGTGTGCACCTGTATTAACTTGTAGTTCTATAGAATTAATTAGTAGTGTATGAACATTACACACAACTTGATTATAGATTTAGATAATTATAATGATATACTTTGTAATATGATCTTTAATTTCTCTCTAATATTCACTCAAGTAAGTCAGACTGTAAAGACATATTTTTTCTATGTTAATAATTGACTTTTCTTATAGATTGTCCAAGAAGCTTTAGACAAAGCTCGAGAAGGGAGAACGTGTATCATAATTGCCCACAGGTTATCCACAATTCAGAATGCTGACCAAATCTTTGTTATTCACCATGGAAGAGTTGTTGAAAAAGGAAAGCATAGTGAACTTCTTACCAAACGTGGTCTTTACTACAAGTTACACACTGCCCAAGTTGAGAAAACAGACTGAATTTGCTGAATGTAAGAGCTATTCTGAAAATTTCATTTGGTTCAGCCTTTGAAATTTCTGAAGTGTTTATTTAAAGGTACCTTTATTGACAACTAATCATTATGCAAATGTTATACATGTATGTGGCACAGATGACGTGGGAGTGATAGATGAGTTTATTCTTTTTTTTGCACTTCACCCATGTCTCTGACAAGTTTCATGATAGTATTAATATCAACCATTTTTTCACTCTTTTATAAAATTAAACACTGATAATGCTTGAAATATGTTAGTAGAACTAGTGTTTGTTTTAAGCTGTTTATTTTTCTCTATGTAATGTATTTAATATTTCATTCATTCCTGTTTCCAATAAAGTTTTTATGCATTTCTGTGTTTTAAAAAAACAAATATTGGATTGGGTGATCAAACTATTTGTCTTTAAATGTCTAGTAATTAATAGCTATGATAATCCAGTTTGTCTTCTGTATCAAACCACAAATTTATATTAAAGTATGACACACTTTTAAAAAAAGAATCCTAAATATTTTGTTTCTGTGTTCATTTTAAATTAGTTGATTTCAGATTTAATATGTTTTATGTGTTTACGCATCAGGTTTAGGATCAGTAAACTTACAAAAAAATGTAGTTGAATTTATGCACCTCAGATGAAGTATGTTTTCTCAGGTAGTTGCAGTATTTTGCAGGAAGTTTGTATAAGTATTTTATTATTTATACAATTAATTCTTTATTGTTGTTTATGAAAAATCTTTTTCATTATATAGGTTTATATGTATATCAGTTGAAGACAAAATACTTCATTAATTTACAGTAATCAGCTACATAAGAAGAAATATCTAAAACAATTAAATTTTGTTATATCTTATATATAAAATACAGTGAAGAATCTAATACAGTAATTTTATTTTTATTTGCTGTTAAAAGTAGCATCCACTGAGATGAAAGATAATTATAATTTTGTTGGATACTGTGATGAAATAAAAATTATTATTCATATTCTTCCTGTTTACTTACAGGAAAAACATAAAGATTTACTCCTGATTCATTTTTATTTTTACAGTGCACTGATGCTTGTTAACTGCAAGGATCAAACATGTATTTTTTTTAAAACAATGTAATTAGTGAAGAAAATAATGATTCACTGAATAATACCTATGACAGTTTTATCAAGTTTTTATTATGATTTATTATTGTTTAGTAGGAAATATTGCAATCACATATATTGGTGTCGTGTGTTATTTTTCTTATTAAAAATGGGATAGATTAGAACTAGGTCAGAGTTGTATTATGTGAAGTACATGTAATTATAGTTAAATTGAGCTATTTAGTTATTGCAAATTATATTTGTATTGTTAATCGTTATATACCTGTACTCTTTCCTTACAGCTGTATAATTTTTAATGTTATGTTTGATTGGAGTTGAATACAGGTAGTTTGTTAGATTAAATTTCTGGTACACATAGTTTTCTACTGTTTAATATCATATAAGCTTTATACCTTGTAATTGATGTGATCTACATTGACTGCAGACAGAATATCTACTTGAATTAACTTGCATCTATGGGTACTCTTAATACAGCTTATTGGCCTTATTTGTATAATGGTTGTATAATTATTTTTTATGTTTTTTCAGTTACAGTGACACCTCACTATCTTTAGACCTATTAGATTTCTTTTTATATAAATTTTGAAGCATTTCCACAATTTGATTAGTTTTTGGCCATAGATGAGGGTTTTCTGTTTAACGATTATGATATGTATTTCTGTTGAAATTGCTCAAAAAATATATTTGGAGAAGAGATAAAAATAACTTAAGATTTGATTCTAGGAAATATTTCAAAATATATTTATTTCATTGTTTTGTTGGTTTTATAAAAGTTTCTATGAAATTCATTAGCTTTATAAGAGTTTAAACCTTTTATTTGCTAATCTATTTTAAATCCAAAAGTTTAATATCATACTGTTAATATCTGATGTGTTTAATCACATAATGTGCTATAGGTTAAGGAGTGTATATGTCTGCTTCTTGTCAGATGTTGATCATAAAGAATTGGTAACTGAGAGATTTTGTCAAAGTACATCAAGTACTTCTTCATAATGTTTTGTTATAAGTTATGAATACAATTCAAACTTTGAAGAAATACAAACTTTTATTATCTATAATGTGAAATGCTTGAATTAGTAAGTAAAATATAACCAAGAGTTTATGTAAGAGTATCTCTAGTAATTGTTTAAACTATATATTTTTAACAATTATCTACTAAAATATGACATTTCAAGGTTGTGAATTAAGTAGAAATGATATTGTGATTCCATCGCCTGAAATTTAAAAATGTAAACAAATTCACACTATTCACATCTGTTGACAAATGATACAGGACAGATTAAAGTTACCTAGAAGGATCTAATAAAATATATTTCATAAGAGAAGTGAAATTGCCTGAATGGAAAGAAAAGAAAGCGTGATAAAGTGTGTATTTTGCAAACAAATTTGTTGTTTTTTAATATTTTGATTTTCTCTTAATCATAGAAATGCTGTGATTGCATTTTCTGATATTTTAACTCCTGTGTCTTGTAAATTAAAATAAATAAAATATATATAGATATATATATAATTTTTGCTACAATTAACTTTGAATATGATTGTTTTAACACTGTTTTATTTACATCTTCTACTGCCACTTTTACAAGTTTGATGCTGTATTATCTGCTGTGTCCCGAGATTACTGATTTCCTACAAATATCAGAGACACTCACAATAGCAACAGATTTGTCCATAAACTATTGAGAATGTTTGAAAGAGGATGACTGACTCAGTATTTCTCTTTAACAGTAGAATAGAGACCAGACAACTTTATTTATAAAATGACAAAATATTTTATTGTACTAATAAATTGAAAATCATTAAAATATCTCACATACCAAATCAAAAAAGGGGACAGTCTTCTTCCACTAAGTGGTTGGTGCTTAACTTTCCTGTTATCATTCTGGATCTTCAATGTAGGATGTCTTCATTGGTCATCTAGTTAAATTCTAAACCAAGAAATTGCACTCAAATCTAGAATGTAAATTTGCTTTCTTTGCCCAATGAACAGTGGCATCTTGTGACCTCTGTTCCCTGACAGCATTGGGCAGCTGTTACTATCAGTTAACATCATAATTGGACAACCAATGATATCTGATATCTCATTTCTAGCCTGTTCAATCAAGATTCAATATATATAATGCTGAAATATCCCTGCAGACAGAAGAGAGGTTATATACTACAGAACAAAAGGCAATACAACCAGAATAAGGTAACGTTAATGACTTTCCACACTACATGTTGCTGCCATGATAGTATTGAAATCAGGTAGTCACTATGCCTACCTATCACACTTTTCCTCTTTTCTCTCTTACTCAGGCCAAAAATTAAAGTTAACTTTGAAAACCAGTTCTCTTTAACTCTCGGAATGATCCAGGAGAATGTTAGTTATACTTCCTTCCTAAGAACATATGTCAGTCCAAACCTTAACAAAAACTCATAATTATATAAAAACCCTTTAACAGTGATATACAATATAATAACCCTTTTACACAAAGATACATGAAATACCCTTTAACAATAACTTAAGAATACAATACATCATAATAATAAAAGATCGTGTAAGAATGATGATTCAAATAACCCAGTGTAAGGGTACACACTCACAATGACAAAAAAGGAAAATTAAATAAGAAAAGTGAATAGAGAAAGAAAATTTTGAGACACACTTCAATTAAAGAGTGTACAGACTGGGCCACCCCTCCATCAAAATGTAAGATGAAAGTTCAGTGCCTGCAGGACTGACTGAGACCAGGGAAGAACCCATGGAAACTTCTGGACATCTAAAGCAGCCAATCAAAATATAAAGGTGACAATGGAAGCACTACTGATAAGGCAACGGATTTATTTCTTGATTAGTTTTCTTTGTTCTCACTGTAGCCATTCTTTCTTCTAACTTTAGAGAGTCCAGACTCCTGGCCATTCAACAGCTGTCTCTTGACAATAGAACATGAATGCTGGGATCTGCTCCAACATGAGCCGATTGTTACTAACCTTTGGTGGCCTTGTATAGAGGTCTGCTCTTGACTGCTTCTGAAGTGTCTCCCATAGTTTCTTTGCTGGTAGAGCCTCAGTGACAACAGCAGTGTAAGTCCTCAGGGTTCACTCACTTGTTTCTGTCTTGGAAGTGAAGGTTTCGTTGTTCACACCTGCAAACTGTCTGATTTGCCAATGCTGTTATTTGTCTAACCATTACAGTCCTCTCTGCTTGGCTGTCCTACTGAAGGCTACCCTTCCTTGACCTTATTAGGGTCTGGATGCCTTTTGAGATGCACCCAATGACAGGAAGGTCTTTTTTGGATTTAGAATGAAGTTTTTCCTTTGCAGATGTGAGCATATATGTTTTCTTCTTGTAGTGCACTTTGATGGGACAAGTCACCAGACTCCTCTTTCTTTTAGCTTTCACTTGCATGGTCAGTGCTGGCAGCAGTACTAGTCCCTGGTCAATGTTATTATTTAGTGTCACGTGATCGTTGAAATGGAAAGACTTTTTCAATAAAGAGTTCTTTACCTGTTGTTTCAGAGTCGAGAATTTTAAAGTTTTCAAGAAGAGTGGATTGGATGTTAATCTCACTGTGTAATCATATACAAGACAAGACTCAGGTGAATTAGTTGGTTTATATCAGCTTCTAACTGAAATTACCATGTGCTCGTGTGCACATATTTGAACATGACGTGTAGTTTTATCAATATAGGTAGCTTTACAGCTGCCATAAGTGTATTTATATACGACGCATGAGCGCCTAGGGATATGTAATGTCCTTTTTTATTTTTAAACACGTTTTGAATTCTAAATGTTGAATTAAACTAAACATAGCTTAATTTCACATCATTATTTTTTTTAATTTGGGATTTGAGTTTAAAACTATTTGCACGTGAAAGGAGGGGTAAAAACTAGCAGATATTTCGAGACATTGTGTGTCTTCTTGATAGTTTCTATTCTATTTGTGAAAAACGTCCACGTAATAGAGTGTAAGAAATTAAGAGGATAACCATTACTGTGTAATATCTTATGAATTTTTGAAATTTCAGAACGAAGACGATAGTATTCAACATTAAATAATAACATAAACTCGACTTGGCATGGCCTGGTTAAGGCGCTCATTAGATTAATGACAATAATTTCGTTTATTTCGAATTTCGAGCAAAGCTATTCGAGGGCTTCCTGCGCCATACGTCTCTAATTTAGCCGTGATGGACTAGGTAGATGGCTTTTAGTTAACACCATCCACTATCAACGCTTGGGCTACTTAGTCTTTTATCACATAGGGGAATTGACCGTCATATTATAACACCTTCATGGCTGAAAGGGCGAGCATTTGCGGTGACGGGGAGTTAAACCCATGACCCACACATTACAAGTCGAGCGCCTTAACCAGGCCATGCCAAGTCGAGTTGACTATTAGCATAAATAAGTGAAAAAAAACTTACTTTATCTAAAATAATTTCGAAAATTTATATTGCTGTTTCAGGTCTTGTTGTTAAACACTTCAGCAGTTAAGCTACATCAATAAATAAACAGGAAGTATTAATCTGTATATTTTCTCCAATTTCCTAAAGCTTTGTCTGCAGTATAAAGTCTTTGTGATAGTATTATGCTGTAACGGAGCCTATAACACCTTTAAAACGATCTTGCAACAGTGGTGAAATTGATTGTAGTTTTTGTGTCATTCCTCAAAGAGACAAGGATGATACAATATTTAGTAGCACTCAACAAGACCTAGAAAAGCTGAAAGAATGTGTCATGAAGTGCTCCTGTCTCATTCTTTGTGGCGCAACCATCACACACGAGATCCACATACCTCCTGTTTTTTCGGGCCAGTACTTCTCTGCTTTGCCGGAAATCCTCGAGATATCACACAGCTAAACCGAGTACATTGAGAGAAGAAAAAATGAGGGAACCGTATGGAGGTTTTCATAAAATCAAATCGGACTCCTAGACCTCTGCCTTACACCAAAGTCAACTGTTTTAGCTCAGTGAAAAGTCAAATTTTTGTTGTCATGGTAACATTGATACTTTTTTCTAGCCGCAGCATTGCGGCTCATAGAATGGCACAATCATTTTTCTCAAGTTTCTTTTCCATCTTTTTGTTCATAGCTCCATCAACTCTTGACCGATTTGAGATCTAATTACAGTTTTGGAATCATGAGGTCAAATCCTTTCATTTGATTTATTTGACCACGCTTAAGGTCTCGTAGATTGATTTATTCTAATCCCGCCTAAAATAATTTCAAGTACCGCAGCTATTGAGGATTTCCTCTTGTTTAGTCCAAAGAACTATTTATGTCTGCAACAAAGACAGAAAACATTGTGATTAAATGCTTTAGTTTGTGAATTTCGCGCAAAGCTACACGAGGGCTATCTGCGCTAGCCGTCCCTAATTTAGCAGTGTAAGACTAGAGGGAAGGCAGCTAGTCATTACCACCCACCGCCAACTCATGGGCTACTCTTTTACCAACGAATAGTGGGATTAACCGTCACATTATAACGCCCCCACGGCTGAAAGAGCGAGCATGTTTGGTGTGACGGGGATTCGAACCCGCGACCCTCAGATTGCGAGTCGAGTGCCATAACCACCTGGCCATGCCGGGGCTAAATGCTTTAGACACCAATTTCCCCTTCACTTTTTGGGTGCACAAGGTAATGGTCACTGATTTTTGAGGTTTTAGGGGGCCATTTTGTTTTTCAATTTTGAGGCTGAAGGAGCCATTTGCCAGGTGGACAAACAAAATATTTGAGTTAAGCACCCTCAAATTGACCAAAATCAAATAACCCAAAATGCTTGATGTCGACCATTTTTCTGAAAAGTGAACCAGTCTGCAGGTCCCAAGACTGTTTTAAATATGGCAATAAACTCACGAGTTTCTAATACAAGAAACATTGATTGATGCCTGTCACATTAGTTGGCAAACAGGCAGTGAGAATCATGGATGAGTCCAACTGCAATTACTGTTCTGATTCGCTGACAAGATAAACTCGGCGTTCTAGTTAGAAAGAATGTTATTTCTGCAAGAGAACCAGCCAAGAAGATGCCCAATCTCCATTTGACCGAATTAGCTCCTGGGGAAAGTTAAAGCTAGAATCTTGCTTGAAAAAAGAAAAATTTTGTGAACTTACGTTTTAAACTGAAAGCAGTAAAAAATGTGTATTATAGCCCAGCACTACAGCAGGAAACGCCTAAATAATTGTAGTCTACACAACGAGGTCAAACTTTCAGTAAATCCCTAAATTGTATATGTCCAGGTTTTAATTCTGAAATATCTGGAGCAATCTACAGCGGAAATATATTTAAAACGTTTTACATATTTAGCTACCAGATTATAGTAAGTACATAGGATATGGTGACAGGCAATACCTAAAATGATAGAAACCTGTTGAAACCATACGAGTTGCAAAGGTCTA